GGGTTTAGGGTTTAGGGTTTAGGGTTTGTGTGCAGGGCGACGAAGAGCGTTTGCGTTCTTTGCCGGTTTCACCTTTGTGCGATCGAGAGAAGCATGCAGACGCTCCGAAGAGCCAAATGGGTTTTATTAATTTTGTTGCGAAGCCTCTTTTTGATGAGTTGGCTGCAGTGGATATAGGCGGCGCTGTCGAGTGAGCCACCTGCCTAGACACCCCAAAACCCTAAACCCTAAACCCTAAACCCTAAACATTACGCAAGAGAACCACTTTCAAGAAACAAACGAGGGATTCGAACCACTGGCAACACAAAACCCTAAACAACTGAGAAGACAAGAGAAATAATAATAATAATAACAAACCCTAAACCCTAAACGGGAGAGTCAAAGCACCTGCTACTCTTCAACAGTCTCGTCGCCTACTCGAGCAGCAGCGACAAACCCTAAACCCTAAACCCTAAACCTGATATATAAATAGATACAATGTGCATAATAAATACACAGCGACATCAACAAACAACTAATTAAATATAATGTATACGTGTATATATACAATATAATATATATATATATATACATATGTCTATATATATATATATATATATATATATTAAGCCCTATGCACAGACACTCCATCCCGAGCTTAGATTGCGGGTAGATAAGAAGTTGCATGCATACAGTTGAATAGAAGTAAGCATAAGAAAGCGTAAGCAATAGCTGAAGGATAATAATAAATAAAAGTATTGTGTTTGCTTATGTGTACAGACGAGAAGTGCTTCCGAACATAAGAGGAAATGCATGCAGGTGGGAGGCCCTCAGCAGCGCAGGTGTAACGATACCGCAGTTTCTGGAGCCTTGGCCTTCTGCTTTGCTGCAGTGCAGCAGCAGCAGCAGCAGCAGCACCACCGGGAATGGATTGCCCCCTCTAGCTGCTGCTGCTGTTGCTGCTGCTGCTGCACGCGTACAAGCAAATGCTACTGCGCCTACAGGAACGAAACTGCAAGTATTAAATCAAAAAATACAGCAAAAAGCAACAGACGGGGTTAAAACAACAAAGATAGACCTCAGGCCTCTCCTTATACATAGTGAAACGAACCGTCACAGATGCAGCAGCAGCAGCCAGCAGCAGCAGCAGCAACAGCAGCAGCAACAGCAGCAGCAACTCCTGCAGCAGCAGCAGCATCAATGCATGCAAAACAGCAGCGCAGCAAGTCACCGACCCAGCTCCCAACACCAAAGCAGCAAGAACCAACTCCAAGGGAAATAATACGAAAATGCTGCTTAAGTCTGTTGTACATACACCCCAGGATAATTGCATGCATGTATATACATACATGCATACATGTTTATAGGGGAGAGACAGGAGCAGCATTTATCCATCATTATTTCATTTACAGTTTTCTTTATAATATTATTAAGAACACTGTTGAAGATGATTGTCTCTTTAAGATGGTGCTTTTCTTTTGGGGTGTCTGTGCGTACAGCCCAACACAACAAATGCTGCAGCAATGCATTCAAAACTTTCCTTTTTTTACCGCTTCTTTCTTTTCTCCTTGCTTCTTTCTGCTTGCAACAACTACCGCACCTATCACCAACAATACCAGCAGCAGCAGCAGCAGCAGTAGTAGCAGCAGCAGCAGCAGTAGCAGCAGCAAACAGCTGTAGGTAGCAACAGTAGCAGCAGCAGCAGCAACAACAGCAGCAGCAAGTTGTCTTTGTGGCTCCACGCTCGCCTACAGTTCTATGATTGCCTTTCATGGTTTTGTTCGTTCAGCTGTTTTGTTCGTTTCTACTTAGTTCAGGGTTTAGGGTTTAGGGCTTGGACTAAAAGGGTTTAGGGTTTGGCCTAAACCCTAAATCCTAGTGTTGGGAAGGCAATAAATGAACTGCAGAAGAATTGAAATGAAAGAAAGAAGAAAAAAAAGCGATTATAAATATTATAATCGCGGTTTCTTTATATTATTTGGGGTGTACAGGCAGCTGCAGCCTCTGCTAGAGGCGCTGCGAAGTGTTGTTATTTTGCTGAGCAGCAAAAATAAAAGAAAATTTTTTTTCTTTCTTTTCCTTCATTGAACTCCATCTCATTTCATTGATAAAATACCACAACTCGCACCTAAATTTAGCTGAAGGCCGGGAAGGCCCCAAGCTAGCTGGAGGGCTGTCTAGCTAGCTAGCTAGCTAGCTAGCTGTTCAGCTGTCCATCCAGCCGGGTAGCCAGCTAGGTAGCCCACCACCTAGCAACCTAGCCATCTAGCTAGCCTAGCTAGCTAGCTAGCTAGCCAGCTACACAGCCAGCCAGCTAGCTAGACAGCCCGCCAGCTAGCTAGCTAGCTAGCTAGCCGCTGTAGAGGGCTGCGGCGTGCCCCAGCCTTTCGGTAAGGTTCTTATTTCATAGGAAGCAGGAAATGTAGAAGGCTGAGGCATTGGAAGAAGCGGAAATGATTGGGCCTTTGAAAGGATTGACTTTTCTTCTGCAGTGTCAGCAAGAAGAAAAGAAGTAATTAACTCTTTTTCTTTGTTTTTCACCCGAAGTAAAGAACGAAGATATCCCAAACAAACAAAGGGAGGAGCCGAACGATACAAAAAACGAACGCGGTATATAGACCCTGAGATACATCCACATAAACCCTAAACCCTAAACCCTAAAGCCCTAAACGCTAACCCCTAACCTCAAAACCCTAAACCCTCAACTATAACTTTTAAACCGTGAACCCTACCCCCTAATCCCTAAACCCTTATTCGTAAACCCTAACTCGTAAACCCTAAACCCTAAACCCTAAACCCTAAACCCTACCTGGTTGGAGGCCTTCAAGGACGACAGTCTTTTTGGTGTTTTCATATAAAACGAAATCCATTGCACGTTTTTCCGTGCCTCCTTCTTGACTCAGAAGCAAACGAACGCAGCAATTTGAATTTGCTTTTAAACGAACCCTAAGAAGAAGAACAAAGATATAAACAAAAGAAAACAAACTAACAATCAAATAAATAAAAGAAAGAAAGAACATAAACTAACAATTAAAAAGAATAAATAAAAGAAACAAACAAAACAAACAAATAAATGAAAAAATAAATAAACGAGAATGATGAGCAAGCAAGTAAAAGGGACGCAAAGAAAAACAAATAAATAAATAAATAAAACAAACAAACGAACAACTAATAAAAAGAATGCATACAAGACACGAAACAAACAAAAACTAAAAAGAATAAATAAAAGAAAACAAACAATACTACCAAACAAATAAATTAATAAAGAGAGAAAAGCAAGAAACATTTATTTATTTTATTTTTGTTTTTATTATGATTCTCCTACTTTTATCGTTTTATTTACTATTTACATTAATTTAATTTAATTTAATTTAATTTAATTTGGTTTAATTAAATTTTTATTTAAACTAATTTAAAATTATTATTCTTCATACTCTGCTGCCGTTTTATTAATTTTTTATATTTATTTATTTAATAGGATTATATTTGAATAATTTTAATCTCCTTTAAATAACTTTAATCAATTTAAATTAAATTTATTTAATTTAATTAGTTTAGTTTAATTAATTTAATTTAATTTAATTAATTTAATTTATTATTATTATTCTTCGTCTCACTCTGCTGTTGTTTTATTAACAATTCGAATGAAGGGCAGCTCCGACAAAAAAACAAATTCAGGGATTGGAACCTGAGACAAATAATAAAATAAAATAAAATAAAATAAAATAAATTAATTAAATTAAATTAAATTAAATTAAATTAAATAAAACAAACAGAGTTAAAATAAATAGATAGATAATATAAATAAATAAATAAATATATAAATATATAAAGCAAAGAAGCGAATGGAAATGTAAGCAAATAAACAAACAAACAAATAAACAAATAAATAAAAAGCAAACAAATAAGCAGATAAATAAAAGAAGCAGACGACGATGAAAAAGAAAAGCAAACAAAACCTAAAAAAGAAGTAAACGAGCTGAAGAAAAGAAAGAAGGATGCAAAGCAAAGACAAACAAAAAGAGAGGTGACGCAGAAACCAATACAAAACAAAACCCCAGAAGATACAAAACCCTAAACCCTAAACCCTAAACCCTAGCACAGGCATACAACAAGAAACAACAAACCCTAGATCACGCAGTATATCGATTGCAAACCCTAAACCCTAAACCCTAAACCATAAGTCATAGGCTATAAAGACAAAGGCAAACACTATACCACACATTTTGCCCATCACAAACCCTAAACCCTAAACCCTTAACCCTAAACCCTAAACGAAATTCAAATAAGAGATGAATAGCTTAGTATTATTGCTTACCTTTTCTGAGCTGACGGCCGCCCCCATGTTGTTATTATTGTCTCCCTTCTGATGTTGTTTGTTGTGCTGTTTATATTTGTTTTTCTGTTTTATATTTTTGTTTGATGTATATTTATTTATTTGTTATAAGTATACTGTATGCATGAGCCTCCCTTAGAGTATCGATGCTTTGTTTGTTTATCTTGGTGCTGCAGCTGCTGCTTCTGGTGCTGTTATAATCTCTTCCTTTATTTATTCTCCTAAATAAAGGGTTTTGCTGCTGCTGCTACTGCTGCTGCTGTTGCTGCTGCTGCTGCTGCTGCTGCTGACCGCTTATAAGCTCAGCAGCAGAAGGCTCAGCAGCTAGCAGCACCGATGCCCAAAGCTTGCACACGAAGGAAATAAAGCGAATACACTTCTTTGTAGAAATAAATAATAATTAAATCAATTAAATAACCTCAATTAATAAATTAAAATAAACAGAAAAGATAAAACTTTCACACAATGCAACACTCAGACACGAGCGACCGCCTTCGCCGGCGCTGCAGCAGCAGCAGCAGCAGCTGTAGATGCTGCTGCTGCTGCCGCTGCTGCTGCTGCTGCTGTTGTTTTTTAGCTTTAAATGATATATTTTAGTTCTATTTTGTTGTTTTTACTGAAAAAATAAATAAAGCTGCGCAGACACCCCACCAACAACATTCGAAGGTGCCGTCGCCAGCACAGTCACCTGTGGGCTGCGCCCTAAACCCTAAACCCTAAACCCTAAACCCTAAACCCTAAACGCTAAATGTTAACCCTAAACCCTAAACTCTAACCCTCAATAGTTTGCTTCTAAGCCCTGAACCCTGATATCCAGGCCACACAGTCTTTGAACTCTAAACCCTAATGACATCAAAACCCTAAACCCTCAATCATAACCTCTAAACTAGGTCTACCCTATCAGACTAGGTTTAGGGCTTAGGGTTTAGGGTTTAGGGTAACTACGCCGAAGCCCCAACCCTAAAAAAATTTATAAATTGCAGTTAACAGACGTCAAACGCCTCACAGCCGCTGCACTAACAGCAGCAGTAGCAGCACTTGCTGCTGCTGCTGTTGCTGCTTCTGCAGCAGCAGCAGCTGCTGCTGCTGCAGTGTCACCGTTGATGTGCAGCAAGGGCTGCCTTGAGGGGTTTTAATTTGAGTTCATCTGCTGCTTCCAGCAGATGCTGCAGCAGTTGCGCCTCCTTCCTGAGCTCAACGAGAAACAGCAGCAGCCCAAACCCTAAACCCTAAACCCTAAACCCTCACCTCGTCAGGGAATCGGCGTGCTGCAGCAGCGACGGCTCAAACGTTTGCAGAGACGCCTTGCAGTCAAAGGCAGCAGCAGCAAACACCCTAAACCCTAAACCCCAAACCCTAAACCCTTAACCCTCACCTCGTCAGAGAACCGACGTGCTGCAGCAGCAACGGCTCAAATGTCTGCAGCAAAGCCTCGCAGTCAAAGGCAGCAGCAGCAAACCCCCGAAGCAACTCCAGGACATCAGCAACCTGAACACACAAACCCTAAACCCTAAACCCTCAAAGGTGCGCTTTGCAGCCACCGCCGCGCATCTCCGCACTTCAGCTGATCTTCCAGCCTCATGCGCTTCGGTGCTCTCCCCGGGTTCCTCAAAGGGTTTAGGGTTTAGGGTTTAGGGTTTAGGGTTTAGGGTTTACTGAGAAGCTTGCGTGCAACTCCAGCGCCCTGCTTTCTATTTGTTTGAGTAGGAGAGGAAAACGAAGGCCGCAGCCGTTAAACCCAGCGACTGCCCTGCTTAGTTCTGAACGCAAACCCTAAACCCTAAACCCTAAACCCTAAACCCTAGATGTACCCTGAGGCGTCGAGGAGCCACAGTTTGACATGGCCTAGGGTTTAGGGTTTAGGGTTTAGGGTTTAGGGTTTAGGGTTTTGTTCACCTGCGGGTTCCAATGAAGGGACAGACGCTGCGATCTTCCGCCAAACAAGGCGGCCCAGCAACTGCAGCTGTTGCTGTTGCTGCTGCTGCTGCTGCACTATCAGGTGGTCCGGCTGCAGCAGCAGCTGCTGCTGCCGCGGTCTCATAGTCGCTGCTTCCAGTATCCGCAGCACTTCGCTCCCTGCAGCAAATCAAAGAACCAGAGACAAACCCTAAACCCTAAGCCCTAAACCCTAAACCCTTGATGGAAAGCCTAAAGAAAGGAGAAAAGGATTGAAATGAAGTACCTGAGAGCTGATAAAGAACTCTCGGTAGGTGCGCGTTGAGGTGTACATACACCTCGGGATAAGCATCTAAAGGCTTAACTCGCGTTGCTAGGAGCCCAAATAAAATAAACAAACTTCTCCCAACTGAAAGTCGCTCGTTTGCTGCTGCTGCTGCAACTGCTGCTGCAACTGCTGCGCTCGCAGGTGTCACTCCTGCTGCTGCAGAGGCTCGTGCTGCTGCTGCTGCTGCCTTCCCTGCATGCTTCTGCTGCTGCTGCTGCTGCTGCTGCTGCTGCTGCTGCTGCTGCAGCCGACGCTGAGTGCCGCTGCGCTTGGGGGAAACCGCAAGGGAACCGAAAGACGGCGCCACGGCGACGAAGAACCCTGAAGCCCAAGCACTAAACCCTAAACCCTAAACCCTAAACCCTAATTTTCTTCCTACTTTGGAACTGCCAACCCCAAGCCGTAAACCCTAAAGCCCAGCCCTTAAACCTTGGGCGGCAAGCCCTGGAGTCACCATCTAGAGCCAAGCCTACCTAAACCCTAAACCCTAAACCCTAGACCCTAAGCTCTCGAGGAAGCCTGCCTACCTGTGTCTCTGTTATGTGCATGCATAGCAGCAGCAACAAGTGCTGCATCTTCAAACGAAAACAAATGAAGACTCTCCTTTGCTCGGCGCCCAAAGACGCTCCAAAAGCCTTCGCTCTTCACTGTCCTCTTGGGGATCGCCTCTGGGATCGCCTCTGGGATCGCCCCCGGGATCGTCCCCGGGATCGTCCCCGGGATCGCCTCTGGGATCGCCTCTGGGACTGCCCCCGGGATCGTCCCTGGGATCGCCTCTGGGATCGCCTCTGGGATCGCCTTGCGAGACGATCCCGAGGGACGAGAGAGGAGAGAGGAATAGGCGACGGAGTTCAACAGCAACTCTCGCGCAGTACACACCAAACCATCAACGTCCGCAGACACCAGAACATCCTGCACGCAAACCCTAAACCCTAAACCCTAAACCCTAATACCTAGACCCCCAACCTCCCAACACCCCCCAAATAGCATACATACAGTAAATACGGGAAGTCTAAAGGCACTGGCAGTGCAGCTGGGGGTTTAAAGGAGCTGCCCCGTCGTCGTTAATGCTTTAAGGTTTAGGGTTTAGGGTTTAGGGTTTAGGGTTTAGGGTTTAGGGTTTAGGGTTTACTCTGTATTTTTTGCGAGCTATTTGGGGGTTTAAAACAAACTTAAGACGACGAAAAGGACCGTCAGAGAGGCCGTGGGCGGTGGGGGTGCACAGAGAGCGGCCTGGGCCGCCCCCAAGTAGCACGCGTGAGACGCGCAGCATCCTAAACCCTAAATCCTAAACCCTAAACCCTAGACCCTAGAAGAAGGATCGTAACACCGAATACGAACCATCGGGACGCATGTGAAGGGCAAAGAAAAGGGGAAGGAGAGTGACGGAAAGGCTGCTGATACAGCTCAGGCTGCTGCTGCTGCTGCAGTTGCTGCTGCTGTTGCTGCTGCGGTTGCTGCTGTGGCGGTGGTTGGTGCTGCGGCTGTTGTTGTTGCTGCTGCTGCTGTTACTGTTGGTGCCGATGATATCTGTCTTGCTGCAGCTCGTGCTGCTGCGTTGCCCTTACTGCTGGTGGTGTTGCTGTTGTTGCTGCTATAATGTTGCTGCTGCTGCTGCTGCTGCTGCTGCTGCTGCTGCTGCTGCGGTCGGTGTGGTGGGGCCCAACGCCGAAGGGTGCAAAGACTCCCTAAACCCTAAACCCTAAACCCTCAATCTGAACCCAAAACCCTGATGAGTGTTTGCTGGAGGCTCACTGTGTCGGCCGTCTGTATCGAGTTGCGCTGAGGTGTATGTACACCTAAAAATGTAATAATGCTGCAGCTTATTTCTTTTCGAAGCCTAGAAAATACTAACAAAGAAATATAAAACAGATTAATAATTTATTTATTTTTGCTTACCTACGCTGCTGCACATGCCGAAGTGTTGGGGCTGCCTTGCTGCTGTGCATGCAAAACCCGTGGGTCGTAAACCCTAAACCCTAAACCCTAAACTCCTAAACCCTAAACCCTAGAACAGCACTTGCCAACATCGGGATTTGTAATTAGGGTTTTATATTGTCTTCTACTCTGCCCAGATCCCATACGTGGCTTGCTGCCTGGTGAGTGCTAACTCCAGGGCTTGGCGGTAGGGTTTAGGGTTTAGGGTTTAGGGTTTGTGGAGCAGACTAAGACCCCTTTTTTGCTTCCAAATGCTACAGAAGTGATAGTCATTGATTCGAGGGAGTGAGGTTGGAGAACAAACCCTCGAAAAGCCACGCATGCAGTGGTACGGTTCAAGATTTAGGGTTTAGGGTTTAGGGTTTAGGGTTTGATCCATCTGTGCAGCGACTGCAAAACCAACGTGTGGGAAAATGGCGGCCACAGTGGACCACCTTCTTCCCCAGGTGAGGGTTTAGGGTTTAGGGTTTTGCGTTGACGATTAGGGCAGAGGGAAGGTGTGGGGTTTAGGGTTTAGGGTTTAGGGTTTCGATCTGCACAGTCTGGGGGATGTTGAGACGTCGGGCGCCATAGGGCTTGTCTGACTTGTCTTGTGGGGTTTAGGGTTTAGGGTTTAGGGTTTAGGGTTTAGGGTTTTGATGCGCAGGATTTGTCGAAGCTGGACATAGCCAAGCTTACACCTTTGTCTCCTGAAGTGATAAGCCGGCAGGTACGCCTAAACCCTCAACCCTAAACCCTAAACCCTTGGATATGTTACCGTGTGCAGTTTAGAGTGTGTGGGGTCGGCAATTTGGTCGCGTGTGAGGCTGAAGGGTTTAGGGTTTAGGGTTTGCGGCTGTTGGTTCGGGGGCTAGGGTTTAGGGTTTAGGGTTTAGGGTTTAGGGTTTAGGGTTTTGTGTTTAGGCGACTATTAACTTCGGAACCATCGGCCATGTGGCCCACGGGAAGTCGACGGTCGTCCGCGCTGTCTCGGGTGTACAGACAGTTCGCTTTAAACATGAAAAGGAAAGAAATATCACTATCAAGTTGGGGTGAGGCTTAGAATTAGGGTTTAGGGTTTAGGGTTTAGGGTTTAGGGAGGTTGTGGTGTGGGATAGTACACTGTAACTGTCTTAAGGCGACGATTTGGTGGCCCGTAAGATTTTAGGGTTTAGGGTTTAGGGTTTAGAGTATGGTGGGTTATACGCTGTTTGTCTGCTTCCCCGTGGGACTGCGGGATTAGGGTTTAGGGTTTAGGGTTTAGGGTTTACGTTGGGGTGTACGTACAGCTACGCCAACGCGAAGATATACAAATGCACCAACCCTGACTGCCCTCCCCCCGAGTGCTACCGTTCATATGGGTCTTCAAAGGAAGATGACCCTCCTTGCTTACGCCCTGGCTGCGGCGCTAAGATGAAGCTTATGAGGTTAGGGTTTAGGGTTTAGGGTTTAGGGTTTAGGGTTTACGGTGTCTAGTCCCGCATCGTCCGTGGTTTAGGGTTTAGGGTTTAGGGTTTAGGGTTTGCGGTTTGTGGTTTTGGGGTGTGTACGCACATACCGTTCGTAGCCTATCCTCGGTTGTTGATATAAAGATTAGGGTTTAGGGTTTAGGGTTTAGGGTTTGAGTATTTGGGGTGTATATGTCCGCATCGTTTATTATGTGTTATCCGTGAGTGGTTTAGGGTTTAGGGTTTAGGGTTTATGTATAGTAATGCATTATATCATCATGACATCGTATAGTTGGTGTTTCGTGGTGGTGGTATTTGATTGATTTATGGTTTAGGGTTTAGGGTTTAGGGTTTAGGGTTTGCGATTTAGGGTTTAGGGTTTAGGGTTTAGGGTTTTGGGGTGTATAGGCACGTATCTTTTGTGGACTGTCCTGGGCACGATATTCTGATGGCTACGATGTTAAACGGTGCTGCTGTGATGGATGCTGCTTTATTATTAATTGCGGGCAATGAGAGCTGCCCTCAGCCGCAAACCTCTGAGCATCTTGCTGCTGTGGAGATCATGAGGCTGCAGCACATCATCATCTTGCAGGTCCTAAACCCTAAACCCTAAACCCTAATTATACACCCCACAGAATAAACCAACACCTATGCAACACCAAGCCACGAACTATCCCGCACAATCGCAGCCTTAATATCACACCCACATCAAGGGTTTAGGGTTTGGGGGGGAGATGCTAGTAGGGTTTAGGGTTTAGGGTTTGGGGTTTACGGGGCTTAGGGTCCGTGGTTCAGACAGGGGCTAGGGTTTGGAGCGGGAGAGGTACGAGATGAGGGTGTGCATGCTGCAGTCGCGCTTCGAGGGTTTAGGGTTTAGGGTTTAGGGTGTATGTGGCTGAGCGCAGAATAAGGTCGAGCTGATTAAGGAGTCTCAGGCGCTGCAGCAGCAGCAGGAAATAAAGCAGTTTGTAGCAGGTATAAACCCTAAACCTTAGCAGCAGCAACGCCGGGAGTTCTTGGGGTTTGCTGCTTCCAGGGGTTCGTATTAGGGATTGGGGTTTAGGGTTTAGGGTTTAGGGTTTGGCGTTTGTAGTGTGTGTATTTTGTGCGTATTTCGTCGTACGGAGCATTTCCTTCTGTGGTGTTTTAGGGTGTAGGCTGTTATCTGGGGTTTAGGGTATTTAGGGTTTAGGGTGTTTAGGGTTTGGGGTGTTTAGGGTTTAGGGTTTAGGGTTTAGGGTTTGTTCAGGAACTGCTGCTGATAAGGCGCCTATTATTCCGGTGTCTGCGGTGCTGCGGTACAACATCGATGTTTTATGCGAATTTATTTGTACGCTTGTCCCGGTCCCTCACCGCGACTTCACAAGACCTCCGCAGCTTATCATCATCCGCTCCTTTGATGTCAACAAGGTTAGGGTTTAGGGTTTAGGGTTTAGAGGGTACGGGGTTGGGGTTGGGGTTTAGGGCGTAGGGTTTGGATGGTGTGGGGCGGGGTTTTGGGTCTAGGGTTTAGGGTTTGGAGGGTTCGGGATGGGGTTTAGGGTTTAGGGTTTAGGGTTTACAGTTTAGGGCTTGGAGGGTGCGGGATGGGGTTTAGGGTTTAGGGTTTGTGGCATCTGGGGTGGTTGGTTGCAGTTGGGGTTACTGTGTTACATGCGTGAGGGTTTAGGGTGTGGGGTAGGAGGATTAGGGTTTAGGGTTTAGGGTTTAGGGTTTGCGTTGTGGGGTGCTCAGCCTGGCGAGGAGGCGGAGAAGCTGCAAGGGGGAGTTGCTGGGGGTTCGATCAGCGAGGGTTTATTAAAAGTTGGTGATGAGATTGAGATTAGGCCAGGGATAATTACTAAAGACGCCTCGGGCTTCATTCAGTGCAGGTGCGAGGTTTAGGGTTTAGGGTTTAGGGTTTAGGGTTTAGGGTTTTTGTGTTGCATGCATGGAGGCAAGTAGAGTACCGCTTTTTTGTATTTGTTTTGTCTCGTTTTTTCTTGCTTTGTTTGTCTTTAACTTTATTTGTTTATGCCTTTAGGTGTCTGTAGAGCATTTTATCTCTACAGTGTATTTTTATTTGTTTATTTTTATTGTAATTATTTATTTTATTTGTTAATTTTGATCGTAAATGTTTATTACATTTGTTTATACGTTAATTGTAATAATTGTTTATTTAACATACATATATTAGTTCAAGCGAAGCGTAATTCTTTAATTAATTAATTAATTAAACTACACATATATTTATTTATTTATATTTATTTATTTATTTATTTATTTGTTTATTTAGGCCGATAGCATCTCGAGTAGTATCCTTATTTGCTGAAGAAAACCCTCTTCAATTTGCAGTGCCGGGGGGTTTAATTGGAGTCGGCACGAAAGTCGATCCCACGCTCACTCGCGCAGATCGGCTTGTGGGGCAGGTCTTAGGGCATCCGGGTCTATTGCCGGACTGCTTCATAGAGATTGATGTTAATTATTATCTACTTAGAAGACTTCTTGGTGTTAAAAGCCAAGTACGTACGGTCTAGGGTTTAGGGTTTAGGGTTTAGGGTTTAGGAGGGGGAGGGTTGGGGGGCAGAGCACCTGGATTTCGGGTTTTTTTCAGAGGGTTTAGGGGTTGGTTAGAGTTTTGGGGTTAGCGAGGCGTAGGATCTACGGCCTACGCTTTAGGGTTTAGGGTTTAGGGTTTAGGGTTTAGCTGTCAGGGATTAGGGTTTAAGGCTTTGATTTTAGGGTTTAGGGTTTAGGGTTTAGGGTTAGGCGGTTTGTGAGGTAGTGGGTGCTCGGGGCTGTGCTCGCGCACTGTCTTTCGGATGAGAGTTTAGGGTTTAGGGTTTAGGGTTTAGGGTTTAGGGTTTAGGGTTTGTTTCAGGAGGGGGACAAGTCGACGAAGGTCTCGAAGTTGAAGAAGGGAGAGTTCGTGATGGTTAATGTGGGCTCCACTTCAGTAGGCGCTCGCGTGGCGGGTGTAAAGCCCGAGATTGCGAAGCTCGAGCTTACGGGGCCTGTATGCACCCGGGTAAGGGTTTAGGATTTAGGGTTTAGGGTTTAGGGTATACGGGTTGGGGTTGTAGGGGCATCGGTAGAAGAGATCTGGAACGCCGTTCGGATGAGGGTTTAGGGTTTGGTGGGAGAGCGGGGGAGGAGGAGGGATTTGTTCCTCGCTTCAGTGGCTATCAAACCCTAAACCCTAAACCCTAAACCCTAATTTGTGTTGCTGCAGGTTGGAGACAAAGTAGCACTCAGTCGCCGAGTAGACAAACACTGGCGGCTGATTGGCTGGGGGCAGATTAATAAAGGAAAAACCCTCCTCCTTCAAGAGCCTCTCTAAACCCTAAACCCTAAACCCTTGCACTCGAATAAGCATGCAGGGTGACGCGCCTCTGCAAGTTGCAGCTGAGTTGCTGCTGCAGCAGCTGCAGCAGAAACAGCAGCAGCGAGAGTGTCTCTCCAGATCCAGATGGCATAGGGGTTTCTTTATAAACCCTAAACCCTAAACCCTCGCCCGTTTTGGTGTTGTCGGCTCAACGAGCAAAACGAAATTCTTTAATTGAGGGTTTAGGGTTTGGCCTGCGCAGCTGCAGCAACCCCAGGGTTTGGGGTTTAGAGTTTAATGTAGAAGCTGCATATCCTTGTGTATCTTGGCTGCTAGGGTTTAGGGTTTAGGGTTTTAGGGGCTACAGCTGAATGGTGCTGCTGCTGCTCTTGCTGCTAGCTGCGGTCGCTTCTGCAGCAGCAGCACTTCAGCGCGAACAGCAGCAGCAGCCGCAGCAGCAATACTAGCAGCAGAAGCAGCTTTATTAGCAACAGACGCCTGATAGTAACGTCGTGGCAAGCGGCAGAAGCAGCAGCTGCTGCTGCCGCTACTGCTAGTGCTGTGCTGCAGCTGCTGCTAGTGTTGCAGCTGCTGCTAGTGTTGCAGCAGGTGCTGCTTCTGCTGCACAGGAGCTTCTCAGGGAGCAGCAGCAGCTGGAACAGCAGAAGTCTATTGCTGCTAGCTGTTTACAGGGCAATACATAAACAGCAAAAGCACCCACAGTGATTGCTGCTGCAACTGCTGCTCCTGCTGCTGCGGCTACTGCTACAGCTGCTACTACTGCTGCTGCTACTGCTGCAGCTCTGCCTGTACAAATTGATATGGTGGTGTTGCAGTTGCTGCTGTTGCAGTGCTACCAGTGCTCATGCAGCCCTAGTTGCTGCACTCGCCGCTGCCGTGACAGCACGAGTACCTGCAGCAGCAGCACTTGCTACAGCAGCAGCAGCAACAGCAGCAGCAGCACTTGCTGCAGCAGCAGTTACTGCAGGAGGTATGTTCGTCTTATTTTTTCTTCGTCTGTGTCTTTCTCTTCTTGGGGTTGGGCTTTGCTGCCTCTGCTGGATCAGCCAAACGAAACGGCAGTGGGGGCAGCAGCAGCGGTTGCTGCTGCTGCTGCTGCTGCTGCTGCTGCTGCTGTTGGTTAGAGTCCCCCCTTTGAGAAGCCGTACAACAGCAGACGCACACAGCAGATATACACATTAGCATAGCCCTTCATACTTTTGCTGCTGCTTTTGCTGCTGCTGCTGCTGCTGCTGCAGTGCCCATAACTAAAGCCAGAGTAAGTGCAGCACAGCTGCAGCTTCAGTCTCACTTCTTTGTTGCTGCAGCCTTGCCCTTAGCCTGGGGTGTCTTTGCTGCTGCTGCTGCTTTTCCCTTCTTTTTCATCTTCTTTTGCCGCAGCAGCAGCAGCTGCTGCTGCTGCTGCTGTCGATAGGCAGCAACAGCAGCAAACACGCTCGGCTGCTGCAGCACTGACGCCGACATTGCAGTGGGGCAGTCTGAGGCAGCAGCAACAGCAGCAGCAGCAACAACAACAGCAACGGCAGCAGCAACAGCAACAGTAAAATATGCATGGACGCAAGGGGCGTTAGTAGCAACAACACAAGCAACAACTGCAGCAGCAGCAGCAACAACAGCAGCAGCAGCAACAACAACAGCAGCAGCAGCAGCGACAAGAGACTTGCCTCTCTCCGCCGCAGCTATTCTACGACGAGACGCTGCAGTGGCTGTGGCGTCTGGATCAAATGAGATAACTGCTGCTGCTGCTGCTGTTGCTGCTGCTGTTGCTGCTTCTCCACTGCCGTCATCAAGATTCCTCTAACCCCCACAAAAACATCTGCAAACCCCCGTCCTAAGTCTTAACTGCCCAAACCCTAAACCCTAAACCCTAAACCCTAAACCCTAGCCAGCAGCAGGCTCCCCTCGGCCGGAACAGGTATCAGGCAGGTTTCTTAGAACGCCTCAACCCCTAAACCCTCAAACCCCAATCCGATACTCTAAACCCTAGACCCTAAACTCTAAACCCTAAACCCTTCCTAGGCCCTAAATCCTAAACCCCAAACCCTAAACCCTAAACCCTATATCCCAAACGGTAGAAGTTGAGCTCACGCCAGATTTGATCGCATGCAAGGTGGCAGTTGAGGCTCCTGCAGCAGCAACTGTGTGATGCCTCTGCTGATGTTGCTGCTGCTGCTGCTGCTGCTCTTCCTCTTCGTCTTCGTCTTCGTATAGCTCTTGCTGCTGCTGCTGCTGCTCCTCATTGCTGCAGCCCTCATCGGCTTCTGCTGCTGCTCTTCGCTGCAGCCGAGGCGAAACCCCAGGGCTGCACGTAGCGACGGTGTGCCGCTGCTGCATCGATCGGCACCGCAGCTTCCAGTCATCTCGCTGCTTCCTGCAGCAGCAGCAGCAGCAGCAACAGCAGCAGCAGCAGCAACAGCAGCAGAAGCGGCAACGAGAGAGGCAGCAACGGTGATAGCACTCTTTTTGTCTTTGCAGAGGGGCTGCTGAAGGCCACGGCGTCTACGACTTCAAACCCTAAACCCTAAACCCTAAACCCTTGGCAGTGAACCCTCAAGACGTACTTCGTAGTCTCGGCTGGGGTCCAAATGGATCTCGTTGCCCTGCAGGCATCAAGGGATTAGGGTTTAGGGTTTAGGGTTTGCGTGGGGGTTTAGGGGTTGTCAGTACCCACTTCAGGGTGCCGCCAGAAAGAAGCGAAGGCTGAGAAGGTATAGCTACAGGATTAGGGTTAGGGTTTAGGGTTTAGGGCTTCGAGCCAAACCCTAAACCCTAGTCCCTCGACCCTCGGCCCCCATCCTTTCCGAGTGTCTAGGGTTAGGGCTAGGGTTTAGGGTTTAGGGTTTTCAAGTACTCCTCAACCTGGCGTGCAATGGCGTCACGATGAGCCTGCCAAGCCACTAAGCGTTCCCTCCTCTCAGCTTCTCTCCTACGTCATAAACCCTAAACCCTAAACCCTAAACCCTAAACCCTGTACCTTACACCCTACAAGAACGCTACCGCTACGGGCTAGGGTTTAGGGTTTCTGGTTGCCCTCTGCTGCTGCATGCACCCGCTGGCGAGCAGCAAACCATCGCTGGCAGAGTTGCAGGTTTTAGAGCTTTAGGGTTTAGGGTTTAGGGTTTGTGGCCGCACTCTGCTGCAGCCTGCTCGGCCTGTCGAGCAGCAAACCACCGCTGATGGAGCTGCGCCTCCACAAGAGAGCGGCGGTCGGAGGAAGGGTATCCTACAAGCACACACCTTAAATCCTAAACCCTAAACCCTAAACCCTAAACCCTCGGAGTAACGTGGGTCGCCGGGTTCTCAGAGGTGCAGCGCACAGGCGAGCAGCTATTTAAGATGGCGAAAAACCCTATATTCAAACCCTAAACCCTAAACCCTAGACCCTAAACCCTGGTCTGCAGCCTGAATTCTAACTAGCAAGCCAGCCATTGTACTGAGCCCAGCAATAGTGAAGTGCCACCCATTCGCAAACCCTAAACCCTAAACCCTAAACCCTAAACCCCAAACCCTTAGCACTAAATCTAAAACCCTAAACCCTAAACCCTAAGTCCTAAAGAGAACGGTGGTCGGGAGATGCGCCCCACAGTGTTGGCTGCGTTTTGCTTGTTTCGTTCTGAAGTGTAAATATTGGGTGTATTATGATAAAAATGCATTAAAAACATAAAATTAAAAAATAAAAACAATTAAAATTAAAAGACAAACATTAAAATATTAATTTAATATAAATATTAAAGATGACTGAAGTGGGATTCGAACCCACGCCCGCGAGGACTGCGGCCTGAACGCAGCGCCTTAGACCACTCGGCCATCCAGCCGAGATTTAACCCTAAACCCTAAACCCTAAACCCTAAACTTTAAATACTAAACATTAAACTATCAGTCGTAAACTTTGCAGGGTGTATGATTATTTTATGCTGCTTGTGCGTCTGTTTGCTTTGCTAGTTGCTCTAGTAAGAAAAGATTTTATTTAGGGTTTAGGGTTTAGGGTTTAGGGTTTAGAGTTTAGGGTTTAGAAGCCGCTTCACTTCATCTCCCACTCTGTTGAAAGAAAGAATAATACAGTGCAAACTAGAGACATACCACCGCTGCCTTAAGGTTAAGGGTTTAGGGTTTAAGGTTTAGGGTTTAGGGTTTAGGGTTATGGCCTTCGTACCCTGAAATTGAAACTGAAGGGGCCTCGTTGGTGGTTCGGGTGTCTCTTCTTCTTCATTCTCCCCCTGGGGCAGCACAAGGCCCCATGGGGTGTTGCCGCTAGGAATTTGATAATCAAAAAAGTTGCTGCTGTTGCTGCTGCTGCTGCTGCTGCTGCTCTCTGGGTGCTGCTGCTGCTGCTTTGACGGGGCAGGCCTGAAGAGGAGCTTCATTCTGTAGAGGCGGAGTTTGTCTGCTGCAGTGCATACGGGCATGTGCGACATAATATAATCATAAAAGGGGTTGTCTCCTTCCTGCTCCTGCTGCTGCTGCTGCTGCTGCTGCTGTTGCTGTTGCTGCTGCTGCTGCTGCAGGTCTTGCTGCTGATCTTCTTGCTCCCCGTACTCCTCCTCATCTTCTTCATCTTGCTCCTCTTCCTCTTGCTGCAGCAGCAGCAGCTGCTGCTTCCAAAAGGCAGAACCAGGCAGGGGTATATTTGTGGGCTCTAAAGGAGAGCCTCTCGACAACAGGGATGCTTCTTGCTGCTGCTGCTGTTGCTGCTGCTGTTGCTGCTGCTGCTGCTGCTGGTCCTCCTGGGGACAGCAGAATTTCTTATACCATCTATAAACATCTTCAAGCTGCCGCGCTTGGCTGCTCGGCGCATTGGGTTGCTGCAGCAGCAGCAGCAACCGTTGCAGCTCAACATACACTTGACGCTCGCTTGCAGCTGCTGCATCGGTCCCCTCGATGCTGCTGCTGCTGCTGCTGCTAGCTTGTTCATTGATCTTTTGCTTCAAGTTGTTGAGGGTCTCTACCATGGCACTGAACTTCGCATTAACTTGTAAACAACCTCCGCGCAGTTCAGCATCAGGTGCTGCTGCTGCTGTTGCTGTTGCTGTTGCTGGTGCTGCTGCTGTTGCTGCAGCTGCTGCTGCGGAAGGGTCAATGCTCACGGCAGCAACAGCAGCTTTTCTCTCCGCCGTCGTAGCAGCATCACTCTGCTGGTTTCCTGTAGCGCTTCTTTGCTGTTGCTTCTCATATGTTGCTGCTGCTGTTGCTGCTGCAGGGGCAGTTTCTGCGCTTGCTGCAGCAGCAGCAGCTTCTGCTTTTGCTGCTTCAGCGGCAGCCTTTGCTGCTGCTGCTGCTGCAGCACTTCTTGAAGGTACGAAGAAGGTGGCAGGTGCTGCTAACTTCCCGCTGCTGAGGACGCCCCTACCATTAGGCCCCGCAGCAACAGCAGCAGCAAAAGCATCGATTTGCTGCTGCAGCGGCAACGGCCTCCAGGCTCCTAAAGCAGCAGCATGACCTAGAGCTGCAACAAAACCCTCTTTAGTTTTTTTTGCTGAGGGTTTTGCTGCTGGCCGCTTCCCTCGCGTCTTCCCCTTTGGGGTTCTCCCCGGCATTTTCAGAAAAAGGGTTTAGGGTTTAGGGTTTAGGGTTTAGGGTTCAGGAGGTAGCGGCTCCCTCGAGGAGCAGAGAGGCGTCAGAGACAACAGTCCAATTTACAGAAGCAGCAGCAAGATGCAAGCAGCTGCAACAGGAAGAGCAAACGAAGCAGCTACTGCAACAGCAACAACAGCAACATAGCAGCAGCAAAGGCAGCAGCAGCAGCAACAGCAGCAACAATAACGCCAGCAGCGGCAGATGGCGCTGCAGTATTGGATATAGGAGCAACAGAAACGGGACTTCAACCTTGATTGCAGCAGCAGCATGAGCAGCAGCAACTGCAGCAGCAGCAGCAGCAGAAACAGCAGCAGCTGCAGCAGAACCTGATCAGCTACAGGGAGAGACCTATCAAGCCATTTGCTTCTACTGTTGCTGCTTGCTCTCTATATAACAAGGGTAAAGCATCGAACTGGTCTATCTTGCTGCTGCTGGCTGTTGCTGCTCTCCCCTAGCTGCTGCTGCTGCAGCTGCTGCTGCAGCTGCTGCTGCTGCAGTGTATGTACACTAATCTTTAGGCGCGGGACACAGACACAACCCCCAAAATGCCTCAAATATATTTTAAATTTGGAGGAAGAGGGGAGATTTCCAAAGAGCGACGAACTTCAGCTAACAGCAGCGCAGGTGCAGCAAGCCCTAAGCAGCAGCAGCAGCAGCAGCAGCAACTACAACAGCAACAGCAGCAGCAGAGTAATAGAGTTTGAAATTTTACTGCTTCTTCCTTCTAAATTAATAATAAGATAAAGGGCTGCCTCTTCAAGCTCAGCAACTGCATAACAACCAGCAGACAGAACCACCAGGGTCACCTCCCCACAGGCCCTAAACCCTAAACCCTAAACCCTAAACCCTAAACCATCGAGAGCAACACCGCTTCATAGGAGCTAAAAGCCTAGAATGACAAGCGACGCATCTCTGCTCCAACCCCTTCCAGCAAAACCCTCAGTCTAAACCCTAAACCCTAAACCCTCGCAGCACCCCATAGAGAGCAAACCCTAAACTCTTGCTGCAGTAGCTACAGCGCAAACCCTAAAATGCTTGCAGCAGCAACAGCAAAGCAAACCCTAAAGCGTAAACCCTAAACCTCATGTCCTGCAGCAACAACTGCCTACTGCTGCGTCAGCAGCAGACGCCTCTCAAAGCCCTAAACCCTAAACCCTAAACCCTTACAGAAGAGTGCATTCTCACTCTTCAATAAAAGCTGCGTCCTGCTGCGTCGCGGTGGGTACTAGCGGCTGCTGCTGCGGCTGCTGCTACTGCTGCAACAAGAGCAGCCCAAAGCCTTGCAGCAGCAGCAGAAAGGGCAACCGACGGCTGCTATCCTTCTCCTAAACCCTAAACCCTAATTTGCGGTTTAGGGTTGGCTTTAAGCGGCCTGAGGGCTAGAAGCCACTACATATAGGGCTCTAAACCCTAAACCCTAAACCCTAAACCCTCAGGCCACCGAGTATATGAGGTCAATCGTAACCGCTTTCCTCTCGTACGCCAAAAACCCCTTCACCGGTCGAGTGTCCTGCAGCACAAGCAGCAGCAGCAGCAGCAGCAGAAGATGCAGCAGCAGCAGCAGAAGATGCAGCAACAGCACGTATGACAGCAACAACACAACGAGCAGCAGCAGAAAACACCCTACGGACAACAATAGCTGCAGCAGCAACGCCATGATTCGCCCTGCGCCCCACAGCAGCAGCAACAGCAGCAGCAACAGCAGCAGCAACGGCAGCAGCAGCAGCAGCAGCAGCAGCAGCACCTGATAGCAGGCCAAGCCACGATCAGCAAGTAGCCCCAGGAAGTGGCTTCGGGTTGTTGGGTCCCTCACAGTTGACGCCAGCACGCAAAGTCTCCGCGGCTGCTGCTGCTGCTGCTGCTGCTGTTGCTGTTGCTGCTGCTGCTGCTGCAAGTCGCCGCATGCCAGAAGAAACTTAAGGGCATCTGCTAGAGCGACGTTTAAACTTAAATCAAACAGCAGATCTGCAGCAGCAATGAATTGAAATACAGCAGGAACCCCCCTGCTGCTGCAGTTGCTGCACGGCTTGCTGCTGCTCTCCCCGGGGCTGCTGCTGCTGTTGATGCCCTGCTGCTTCCGTTGCTGCTGCTGCTGCAGTATAGCAAGACCTTGAGCTGAGATCTGCGGCGCATCTGCTGCTACGCTGGTGAGATCGAGACACCCGACAGTACAAACGGCCCCGTAGCTGCTGCTGTTGCTGCTGCTGCTGCTGCTGCTGCTGGTGTTGCACGGGGTGGTTTCTTGTAGGTCTTGCTGTTCGTCTTCATCTGTGTTGCTATCTGCTGCAGCAGCAGCAGCAGCCGTAGCAGCAACTGCTAAGGCTGCCTCCGGATATACATACACGCCATTGAGACTAAGATTGCTGCTGCAGTTTGCTGCTATACACGGGGTTTTATCTGTTGCTGCATACAGCTTCAGGTCTTCTATCCGTTGTGCTGCAGTTGCTGCAGTAGATCCTATGCCGCACCCTATCTCTAATATTGAAACCCTGTCTTTGCTGCTGCAGCTGCTGCAGCTGCTGCAGCTGCTGCACACATTGCTGCGCCCGCTGCTGCTGCTGCCGCTGAGACTCATGCTGCTGCTGAAGTCTTGCTGCTGCTCTGACAGCTCGTCTTCGTCCTCTCCTTGTTCTTGCTGCTGCTGCTGCTGCTGCTGCTGCCGATCGATGCTTGCCAGGAGGTCAGCAAGCCAAGGCGCAGCAGGTGCAGCAGCATCGAGTGCTGGTGGTGCTTCGCTTCTGCTGCTGCTGCTGTCCGTGCTGCTGCAACTCTTGTTGCTGACGAGGTTCGTGCTGCTCCTGCTGCTCCCCAGAGACGCGCAGCAGCAAGCAGCAGCAAGCTGGTGCCCATACATCGCAAGATATTCGCCCAAGTGAAGGCCAGCCGTCCACGAACGCAGTCCTATAAGCAACACAGAGCCGACGAGCAGCAGCAGCAGCAGCAGCAGCAGCAGCAACAGCAGCAGCAGCAGCAGCAGCAGCAACAGCAACAGATTCGTGCAACGAGAAAACAGAAACTTCCCCCTCACCAACACACGCACGCATGCAGCAGCAGCAGCAGCTGTTGCTGCTGCTGCAAGAGCAGCACCAGCTGAAGTGCAGCAATGAATGTGCCGACCTCAATGTCGGTGGCTGCCGAGGGTTTAGGGTTTAGGGTTTAGGGTTTGGAGGCTTACGTGCACTCTGCAGGTGACGTACTGCTCCGCTGGTCTGTCTAAGATTTGAAAAGATAAATATGAATAATGTGAAGCGTCTTCCCGCTTCATCAGCCTGATCGCAAACCCTAAACCCTAAACCCTAAACCCTAAACCCTAGGCCCTATGGCTGGGTGCGCTGAACCCTGTACCCTTGAAGTTTAAAGGTTTTGTTTTGCGTTCAAGGGGTTTGCCCGAGTAGAATATTAGTGTTTAGGGTTTAGGGTTTAGGGTTTGCTGCCTGGGTAGGGTATGCGGAAGTGTTAGGGTTTAGGGTTTAGGGTTTAGGGTTTACGCGAATACGGCGTCACAGAATGCGTCAGTGAGGGGCAGCTGCAGCAACTCAGCTGCGGTGTACAGACACTTGAGAAGCCGCTGGATGTAAACAGCAGGAGGAAGGTGCTGCTGCAGCGGCATCTGCTGCAGAACTTCGCGGACGAAGCGGAGCTGCAGCTGCAGCAGCACAACAGCAACAGCAGCAGCAGCAGCAGCAGCAGCAAAGAAGCAACAGCAACAGCAACATGTCTCTCCACAGCAGATACAGCGCGTTCGCAGCAGCAACGTGCAGTCAGGTTCAGGGACCTTTTCAGAATTAGGGTTTAGGGTTTAGGGTTTAGGGTTTAGGGTTTACCTGCGGGTCTCTGATGATGGAAAACTGCAGGCATAGCGGCAGCACCCGATGAAGAGGAGCAGCACGAGCAATTCTTCTTCTCAAGATCTGCAGCAGCACCTGCTGCGCTGCAGCAGAGAGATCCTGCTGCTGCTGCTGCAGCAGCAGCTGCTGCAGCCGCTTCTGCTGCTGCAGCTGACAGACTGCATCCACCAGGGCCTCTTCCTCTTCCCAAGATAGGGCATCATTTGGAGTTGAAGCGAGCAGCAGCATTTGCTGCTGCTGCTGCTGCTGCTGCTGCGGATGGTACTGCTGATGCTTCTGCAGCTGCTGCAGCCGCTGCTGCTGGGCTGCAGCAGCAGCTGCTGCTGCAGCTTCCAAAGCCTCCTCTACGGTCTCTGCTCCAAAGGGCAGGCGTACTTCTGCCTTCACATGACAGCTGCAGGAGCACTTGCTGCTGCTGCTGCTGCTGCTATCTGGTTGGCAGTTGCAGGCAACGCAGGCAGCAGCAGCAGCAAAGACAGCAGCAGCTGCTGCTGCTGCAGCAGCAGAAGGCAGAGAGTCATCTTCTTCGCTACAGTCGCTTGAGGGCTTTTGTGAAGGGGTTACAGGAGAAGCAAAACCGCTCTGCGGAGACAGAAGCTGCTGCTGCTGCTGCTGCTGTTGCAGCAGCATCGCTGTCAACCCCCGCTCCGATCCCTGCTGCTGACTCTCCGGCTGCAGCTGCTGCTGCAGCTGCTGCTGCAGCTGCTGCTGCGCCATGTCGCGTGCCTTCTGCTGTAAATGGTTCCCCCCGCGCTGCTGCTGCTGCTGCTGCTGTTGCTGCTGCGTTCGTCGCCCAAGTCGGTGCTTCTACGGTGCAACAGCAGCAGCAGCAGCAGCAACAGCAGCAGCGTATACACACCACCCTTTCGAGGGTTAATAAAGAAGAAAGGCGGCCACTGAAGCCTTTGCTTCCGCTATTTCTACCGCTCCAACTCCTGCGCCGGCTGTTGCTGCTGTTGTTGCTGCTGCTGCGGCTGCTGCTGCACACGGCGCAGCAGCTGCCTCTGCTTTCTGAGGTCGCCCTGGGCTGCTGCAGCTACTGTTACTGCTGCTACGTGAAGCTTGAAGAAGAGCAGCAGCAGCAGGAGCAGCAGCAGTAGCAGCAACTCCTGCGATCAGGGTCACTGCTGGTTTGCTGCTGCTGCTGGCCCCCTGCTGCTGCCAAGTGTATAGACAACTAGCAGCAGCAACAGCAACAACAGCAGCACCTTTTAACTTATAACTTCGGAAACAAAAGAAAATCCAAATAATAGACGAAGAAGATCGCCGCCGCTGCTGCTGCTGCTGCTGCTGTTAAGCTGCTCGGAGCCTGGAACGTCGCCGCAGCAGCAGCAGCAGCAACTGCAACAGCAGCAGCAGCAGCGGCTGCTGCTGCTGCTGCTGCTGCGGCTGCTGCTGCTGCTCCAAAGATTTCAGCATTTCGCTCCCCCCAATTCTTTTTGTGCAGCAACAAAAACTAATTGCTGCTGTCTGACGCATAAAGTGTATGCTTCTGTGGTGCCGCTGAGGGTGTAGGGTTTAGGGTTTAGGGTTTGGGGTTTAGGGTTTGCTGCTGCATGCGCTGCTGCCCCTCCCCCTTCAACCCCGTTTAGGAGTTGGGGCGTTCAATTCATCTGAAAGGCCAACTGCTGCTTCAATCAGCAGCAAACAGAACAGCTGTAGCAGCAGCAACAGCAGCAGCTATAGCAGCAACGCCAGCAGCAGCAGCAACAGCAGCAGCTGCTGCAGCAGGACACGTCTTCGCCACCGCAGCACCGAGCAGTAGCAGCAAAAATTGCTGCTGGAGGCAGATATAGACTGAATAGGCAAACGCAGCGGCAGCAACAGCAGCAGCAGCAGCATATAAGGATGGAATCAGCAGCAGCAGCAGCAGCTCCAGCACCGGCTGCAGCAGCAGCAGCACCAGCTGCTGCTGCGCCTGCCTCAGCATCGCCAGCAGCAGCAGCACCTGCGCCAGCACCAGCGGCAGCAGCACCCGCACCAGCAGCAACAGCAGCTGCACCAGCAGCAGCAGCAACCCCAGCAGCAGCACCAGCTGCAGCAGCAGCAGCAGTAACTTCTCCCCCTGCCCAGAAGTCCGATCCTGTCTCAGCAGACAGCAAAAATTCAGGTATCCCTCTGCTGCTGCTGCTGCTGTTGCTGCTGCAGTGGTTGGTGCTGGTGTTGCCGCTGCTGCGCCTGTTGTATTGATGGGTGCATGCGGTGGGTGGGCTGAGGGTTTAGGGTTTAGGGTTTAGGGTTTAGGGTTTGTGCGCAGAGGCGGTGGTTTCGGGTTTCGACCAGGAATGGGCGGAGCTGCAGAAGCTGCAAGTGAGAGCAAACCCTAAACCCTAAACCCTAAACCCTTCGTGAGCGTTTAGCTGAAATGCGTGACAGTTGAGGGTTTAGGGTTTACAAACTTGTGCTGCTGCTGCTGCTGCTGTTGCTGCTCTAGGATTTGCAAGAAGATGCTGAGTTCGGGTCGCTGCTGCAGCCAGGGGAAGGCGCAGCAGCAGACAGCGCAGCAGCTGCTGCAGCACAAGCTGCTGCAAATGATGCAGACAAACGTTCTGTATACGTAGGAAATGTAAGGCTTCTGCAGCAGCAGTAACAGCAGCAGCAGCAGCAGCAGCAACTGTTGCTGCTGCTGCTGCCTTCTGATTAGATTTATGTTGCGTATGCTGCACATTCTGCTGTCTGATATCTGCACTTCGTCGTTGGATTTGCAGTTGCTGAAGTTCTTTCGCGTGTGCTGCTGCTGCTGTTGCTGCTGCTGCTGCTGCTGCTGCTGCTGCTGCTGCTTGCAGGTGGATTACTCTGCAACGCCTGCTGATCTTCAGGAGCATTTTAAAGGCTGCGGGCCGATAAACAGAATTACTATCATGGTAGACAAATTCACAGGACACCCAAAGGGTAAGAATCTGCTGCTGCTGCTGCTGCTGCTGCTGCTGTTCTTAGCGGCCATGGCTGCTAAGAGCTGCTGCTGCTGAGAGATGGCGCTGATGCTCTCGTGGATGCCGCTGCATGATGATGCTGCTGCTGCTGCCCTTTGCTCCTGTTGCTGCATTTTGCTGCTGTTGCTTCCCTTGCCGGGATGCCTTTGTTGCTGCTTGGGCGTTGCATTCGCTGCTGCTGCGAATGCTGCTGCTGCTGCTTGTACGGGAGTGTGTGGGGTGTTCGGCAATTGCTGTTGCTGCTGCTGCTGCTGCTGCAGGATATGCTTACATTGAGTTCGGGTCTGAAATTGCTGCGCAGCACGCAGTGCTGCTGTCGGATTCCACTTTGAAAGACCGGCAAATAAAGGTGCGTTTGCAGCAACTTCATCGAGGGTTTGATGTCTAGGGTTTAGGGTTTAGGGTTTAGGGTTTAGGGTTTAGGGTTTAGGGTTTAGGGTTTGGGGTGTATGTGCAGGTGGTTTCGAAGCGAAAGAATATTCCAGGAATGTCCCGCGGCAGAGGCGGCGTGTGGAGGCCTCGAGGCGCTCTGCCTTTTAGAGGGAGGTCAGGGCTTCAAACCCTAAACCCTTTCTAAACCCTAAACCCTAAACCCTAACCCGCAGTTGTACTTGGCCCTGCAGCCTTAGGTTAAGTTTGGGCTCGCGCCTGCCTTTCCGGCAAGGGTTTAGGGTTTAAGTGTCCAACCAGGATTCAGACCTAGGATTTAGGGTTTAGGGTTTGGGGTCTTAGGGTTTAGGGTTTAGGGTTTATGTATTTGTCTTCAGAGGCAGAGGGGGAGGCGGCTTCAGGCCTATCTATAGAGGCCGCGGAGGCGCAAGCAGGGGTTATGGGAGGCCTTACTAAACCCTAAACCCTAGTGTTGAGGTTTCTTGATGTTTCGAGGGTTTAGGGTTTAGGGTTTGAAGGCTTGCCGATAGTCAAACCTGAGGCAGCTGTGGCGCCTTTCTTAGCATGTGCAGCAAAAGTTACTGCTGGATGCTGCTGCAAGAGCAGCAGCAGCAGCAGCAGCAGCAGCTGCAGCTGTTGCTGCTGCTGCCCTCGTAGCCGCGACTGCAATTGTTGCAACGGGGCTGGCTGCAGCTGCTCTGAGCAGCAGCAGCAGCACCTGCAGCGGCACAGGCTGCAGAAGCAGCCGCCGCAGCACCAGCAGCAGCGACATGGACAGTCTGTGGGCTTTTTGTTTCTTTTGATTTCTTTGGTCTGTCACTACGCCTTTTGGATTTGCTGCAGCTATCTCTGCTACCAGACATAATATTATATATAATTTTATAGTTTTAATTAGCGAGGCTGCACAAGGAAAGCAACAAGAAAGAAAAATACTCTGTAAATTTAATTGCATATGCTTCTGTTTATGTTTTTGTTTCTTCGTTGTCTGTTCTTGCTGTTATGTACATATATATATGTATATATATATATATATACATATATTTAAATATATGTATTTATATACGTAGTTATGTGTATATATGCACATATAATATATATTTTGAAGATATTTCTAGGGGTAATATTTCGTCGAATTAGTTTAATAATTAATTAGCGGGACGCGATGCTTTGATTAAAGAGTTGGAGAAACAAAGAGAAAATGAAGCAAAAGAAGATAAAAGAAATCAGAAATAAATATTTATTTATCTGTTTGTAAATAAGTGAATAAATATGTAAATATCTTGTTGTCTCAGGCAGAACGACGGCGAGGCAGCTGTTCTTGTTTCCTTCTATATTTCGCTGTTTATTTCTTTATTAAATGCTCTAATGAATAATTTATTCTTTATTATCCATTTATTTCTAAACAATTCCAATAAATATGCGTGTGTTTTCTTCTATAAAAAACAAAGGCTGCATGTTTCTTCCTGATGAATGAAGAGTTCAATAAAAACGCAGTTGTGGAGGAAAATATCAGAAAATAATTTGCAAATGAATTAATAATTAATTAATTAATTAATTTTACGCTTTTTATTCATCAATACCTTCAAAAAGGGCTCAATATTACCTCAATTTATTTTCATCGTCTTCGTTTCCGTTGGCTAGGGTTTCCTACACTTCTCTATGTGTAAACACCGTCGCAGAGGCAGAATTTAATTGAATAAACTAAGATCAACGAGTTCCCGAGAATATATTTGATTATTTAAATTAAAATAAACAAATTTAAATTCGTATTCCTTCCTTTTTTCTCTAAAAATGTAAAAAATTCAGCGCAGACAGGCGCACTGACGAAGCCGATTGCGGTGCTGAACGATCGCCGTTTATGCAGGTATAAAATAAGGAAATAAATATAAAATTTTGAATTAAATATATTTTCTTTGTGAGTTTTATAATAATATAATGAGGGATTTATTAATAAAGACATTTTTTCTTGAGATTGGAGCGCAGGCCTCTGTATACATATTTCGATGCAAATCAGTGTAGTTGTTTCTGCACGAATATATTTTCTGGAGGTCTTTGTTTATTTTAAAGGTCCAAAGAAAACAAAGAAGATTTGTTTTGTTTTATTAATTTTAATTCAGACTTCTTCTTTCTTCCCGCTGCAATCTGTCTCAATCGCCGCCGATGCATTTCTTTTTCTTTTCTTACGCACAGATGCGTTGGTTTAGAGCAGCCCTGGGCTGCAGAACTTCAATTAAATAAATGCAAATAGGGCGTATTAAGAGGAGAGCAGCGGGGGTTTGTCTTACCCTCTGCTTCGCGCAATTTGCTGCTCTTCTACCTCTCTTTGCTGCTGCTGCTGGCTAATGCTCAAGGCTCTGCTTAGCTATGAAGAAGCCTCTCTGCTGTATGCTGTTTTTGATTTCTTCTTGGGGTTTCATCTTCTCCGCTGCTGTCAAGACAGTGCAGATGCAAACAACAGCTGCAGCAAACAACAGCGGCGCCTGCTTGAGGGGCCTCCCTTCTCTATACTCGCAGCGTTGGGGGTTTAAGACGGGGTTATGTCCATTTAATACACCAGGTTGCTGCTTTGTGCTGCAGCAACAATGCCAGAAAAGGAAGCAGGCAAGACGCATGCAGCGCGCCGCTGCAGCACCTGCAGCAGCTGCAGCAGCTTTTGCTGCTGATCGCATGCATCGCTATCTCTCAACTGCCGCTCTTCGGGTAAGAGAAAATAATTCAAGAGCCGCGAGTGCATTTCTGGCTCCTAATAGGTCCCTTCAGCAGAACTATGTGCAGCAGCAGCAGCAGCAGCAGCAGCGGCATCAGAAGCAGCAGCTGCAGCAGCAGCAACCGCGTGGTTTTCAGGCCCAGCCAGATGCAGGCGACAGCAGCTGCAGCACAAGGAGCAGCGTCAGCAGCACCATAACCGCATGCAACAACAACAGCAGCAGCAGCAGCAACAACAACAACATCCAGTGCAGCAGCAACTTCCGCCTAGACTTTATGAATGAACACCAATTTGGGGTGTACATACACCTGCCCTTTTGCCTGCGTCGCTGTCATTTTTGCGCGTTTCCAATTGTGCTGCTACCTAACAGCAGCAAAGCAGCAGCAGCAGCAGCAGCAGAAGCATATCTTCCGCTGCTGCAGCAGGAGATGACGACGGTGTTCGAAGCGTTCTTGAAGCCGCACAGACAACGTGTGCAGCAGCTGCAGCAGCTGCTGCAGCAACAGCACGGCGAGCCGCAGCAGCAGCAGCAGCAGGAATCTGTGCTTCTAGAAGATATTCAGGAGGCAATGATGGTAGCCTTGTCTCCACCATCAGCTGTGAACAGATCAAGCAGCAGATATGCTGTTGCTCCAACAGCTGCAGCAGCTGCGCCTGCTGCAGCAGCTGCAGCAGCACGAGGCAAGCGGCTGCTGCGCTCTGTTTATTTCGGTGGGGGGACTCCTTCCTTAATGCCACCGAAGATGCTGCAGCAGTTGCTGCAGCAAATTGAGACCTTCGAGGCCGATCTGCAGCAGCTGCTGCTGCAGCAGCAGCAGCTGCGTGACGCACTGCAGCAACGCCCTCTGAAACGAAAGGAAGGCACGCCTTTGTGGGAGCGGCAGCAGCAGCAGCACCAGCACCAGCAGCAACAGCAGCAACAGCAGCAACAGCAACAGCAACATCAGCATCAGCAGCAGCAGAAAGAACAGCCTGAGGTGTCAATAGAGATATACCCAGGTAAAGATGAAGCAGTTGCTGCTGCATCTGTCTTCAAGCAGCATTTGATTTATGCTGCTGACTGCTGCTGCTGTTAGAGATCCTGGAAGCTTTTGCAGCAGCAATTGCTGCTGCCGCTCGACAGCGCGAGCGACAAGCTGCCAGTCAGCTTCTGCTGTTGCTCTTGTTGCTGTTGCTGCTGCTGCTGCTGCTGCAGGTACGCTGGATGAAGAGCGGCTGCAGGCCTACTTATCTTTGGGGGTTAATCGCTTCTCTTTGGGTGTCCAGACACTGCACGAGCCAACACTTAAAGTCCTAGGCAGGTATCCGGCAAACATGATGAGCAGCAGCAGCAGCAGCAGCAGCAACAACAGCAGCAGCAGCAGCAACAGCAGCAGCAACAGCAGCAACAGCAGCAGCAGCAGCACCAACAGCAGCAGCAGCAGAAGCAGGGCGCCTAGCCACAGTCGGGACAGTCTGCATGCGCTGCGTTTGCTGCGAGAAAATAATTTGCTGCACCAGACCTCCGTCGATTTAATTTTCAGTGTACAGACACCTCAGCAGCTGCTGCGCGACTTGCGGCTGCTGGCACGGCTTCGTGTTGCGCATATATCTTTATACGAACTCCAGGTCAGGCCCCGCCCCTTCCCGCTGCTGCTGCTGCTGCTTTTGCTGCTGCTGCTGCTGCTGTTGCTGTTGCTGCTGCTGTTGCTGCTGCTGTTGCTGCTACTGCTTCAGTTCATGGAGGAACAGCAGCAAGAATGGCAGCTGCTCCCGGGAGCAGCAGGCGTTGAACGGGCAACTGCAGCAGCTGCAGCAGCAGCAGCAGTAGCAGCGGCAGCAGCAGCGGTACCAGGAGAGGTTTCTACGGCAGCAGCAGCAGCAGGCAGGAAATTGGATTGCTGCTGCTGCTGTATCTTTGCTGCATGCGCTTCAGCTCGATGAAGGCTCGAGATTTTACCGAAGGCCTCCAAAGGGGCTGCCTGATGCAGACACCTCAGCTGCTGCTCTCCGTGCTGCCTCTAGGTTAGCCGCTGCAGCATTTGCTGCAACATCTGCTGCAGCACCTGCTGCAGCGAATTGTGCAATAGATTCCGCAGCAGATACTGCAGCAGATGCCGCAGCGAGTGGTGCAGCATCTGCTGCAGCAGCAAATTTGGGGTGTATGTATGCTGCAGTATTGATTGTTTATATCTTTCTGAAGCATCTGTGTTGGTTGCAGGCTGCTGCAGCAGCGCGGGTATGAGCACTATGAAGTCTCTTCTTTCGCCTTGAGGTCCCCGTACAGCCCAGGTGCTGCAGCACAAAAAACCCTTCTTCTTTCTTCTTTATGCAGACACCTGAGAATACACTCTGAGCTGCAGTGTCTGCGCAGCTGAAGACAGAGGGGCTTCTTAAGAAAGAATCTGCACACACCTAGCTGAGTTGTTTGATACATATATATATATGTATATATATGTATATATAATGATTTATTATTATTTTAATGAAGAGGGTTTATTCTTTACTCGTTTTAAATGCACTCATGCATGCATGCATGCATGCATCGCTGTACATACACCTGAATATCTTGCGTTGGGCTGGTGGAGGCATAAAAACAGATAAAGCGCCTCCTGTTGAGGCTAAACCCTAAACCCTAAACCCTAAACCCTAAGCCCTAAACCATCTTGGCTCTGCATTTATTTGGGCATCTGCGATGTTTCAGGCAGAGACAGAGCCGACCAGGCACCGCTGCAGGAGCAGCAGGAGCGCTCCAGCAATACCAGCAGCAGCAGCAACAACGGCAGCAGCAGCAGCAGCAACAACAACGGCAGCAGCAACAGCAACAGCAGCAACAGCAGCGACAACAGCAGCAGCAGCAACAACAACGAAAACAGCACCAGCAGCAGCAGCAACAGCAACGAGAACGGCACCAGCAGCAACAGCAGCAACAGCAGCAGCAACAGCAGCAACAGCAGCAGCAGCAGCAGGTGTATACATTCGCAGATGTACTGGAGCTGCGGGACTGTGTTTGGCTTTGGGCTGGGCGCTTCATCTTTTCTCAGAGGCCAAAGACAAACAAATCCACCGAAGTAAGCGCAGACGGATGCAGCTTTAAGTCTTTATATATATATATATATATACGTACATATATATATATATATATATAACGCATCTATCTACATATATGTATATATTTATTCATTTATTTATATTTATAGGGAGTACTGTTGCCTGATAATTTTATTGTTTATTATGTATTGTTTATATTTTGTGTTGTTGTTATATAGCGTATACATATAAATATAAAATATATATATATATATATAAATAGATATATATATATATATATATATATATATTCTTTTAAGCGTTTAGTATGCATGCTGAGGGTTTAAATGTTTTTGTCTGTTTTTCAGCTTTTCTTCTTATAAGTCGTTCCTTCGAGAAGAAGACGCTCAAACAAAAATTTTATCTGCAAAGACACAGACACTGCAGCCCATAATTAAAAACTTCACAAGGTGGGCGTACACCCGAATACAAGAGATGCTGATGCTCGGCCTACGCACTTCCGATGGTGTTGATTTGCTGCATCTCTTTGCCCTTTCAAAAGCAGCAGCAGCAGCAGCTGCTGCTGCTGCTGCTGCTGCTTCTGCAGAACCAGCTGCACGAGCCGATGCAGCAGATAATGCTCTGCAGCTCCTGCTGCAGCCAGCAGCAACGATGGAAGAAGTGCTGCGCTGCAGCGCGGCATTTGCAAACCGCTGGGCAGCAGAACATTCAGCAGCAGCAGCAGCAGCAGCAGCAGAATCCCCAGCAGCACAAACAACGACATCTATCAGAGACGGAGACGCAGTGTTGCTGCTGCTGCAGCAAGTGCTTCCTTCGGTGTTGTGGGGTGCAACAGAATATCTGCGTAACCCTGAAGTAGCAGCAATTCGGCTGTACGTACACCCGAGTAATTCAGTCTTTGCCCAAAGCCTCAGCAGCGCATCTCCCTATGTTTTTGATCGAAGTTCTGGGGCTGCATGCAGTTTGCTATCAGCAGATGCAGAGAGAGAAGAGATCTGCAAGCTGCTTAAAACTGAAGTAGAGGGAGAAGGGAGGCTGCTGAGGGTTTCAGAGAGAGACACAGCAGCAGCAGTAACAGCAAAAGCAATGCGGCTTCTTCATGCGCTGGACGTACACCGCAGCGGCTCCAGCAGCAGCAGCAGCAACAGCAACAGCAGCAGCAGCAGCAACGTCAGCTGCCGTTTGCTGCTGAAGGCCCCTGATGGTTTGCTGCTGAGTGATGCAGTTGTTAGAGATATATTTACACACCTTGACTTTGTCTGCAAACCGATAGAGACCCTGCTGCAGGAAGAAGAGGAGTAAAAACATTCGTATAAATTTTACGACAAGGATTATGAGAGAAGCCTCTGCATGCAGCAGATATCTAAAACATAACAGAGTTTATGTTAGCCCTCTAACTTCTTCTTTCTTTTGAACGTATTACTCGAAGGAAGTCCCACAGGCGTTAGCTTAGAAATGTTAATGGGTTTTTTCTGTTCTTTTAAATACTAAATAATAAATAAATAAACATATATATTAATCCTTTAATAAAACTTTATTTTATCTATTTTTTGTATAATATGGAGATCCTATATATAATATATATTATATATATTATATATATTAACTAAATTCTTTGTCTCTACTGCAGCTGTAGACGCTCTCGCATGCAGCATGCAAGAAGAATAGCCTTTTATATATGTATGAGTGAAGGAGGCGGTTAATAATCACTTATTTCTTCGCTTGCAGCAGTAAAAAGACTGTCTTCAAGTAGAAGCACAGCAATTAAACTGTAGGTAACTATGGTAAGAAGCTGCATATACACTTCACGGTGTATCTGCAACTCGCCCCTCATAGGTATAAAAATGATTCTAATGACAGAAACCTTCGGGTAAGAAGAGCTTTCAAATGTATATATTTGTTTAAATGCATGCAATAAGAAACCCGAGGAGCAGCAGCATACAACAACACTGCTGTGCTGCTGCTTCGCTCTAAAAAGATATGTTTGTGTATAATATAAACAGCAAATCTGCATGTCTTTCTGTTAATAAATATATATCCGTCCTTCCAAAGTTTTTATTTTTTCTTTTCATAAACAAAACACAAACGCACGCATGCATGCAATGGGTGCAGCAGCAGCGCTGCAACGCCGGGGCTGTGGGGGGCCGATGCTGCTGCTGCCGCCTGCTGCTGCTGCGGCTGCTGCTGCTGCTGCTGCTGCTGCACGCACTGCATATAAAGGAGTGTGGGGAGGGGGCAGCGGATATTTGCGTCGTTTTTTGTGAATTTCATTTTTTGTTTTTCATTAAAAATGTCGCATAGAAAATTCGAAAGGCCGCGCCACGGCTCTCTCGGGTTTTGCCCCAGGAAGCGGTGCCGCCGTCATAGGGGTAAAGGTGAGCATTAAAGCTGATTTTTCTTGAATTAATTTTGTTTATTTTATATATTTTAAAGCTTTACTTCTATATTTATTTGCTTTTCTCTCTTATTTCTTTCAATATGTTGTGTTAGAAAGACCGGACACGCCCCAGCAACATACGAAATATATATGTGCAGCACTGCATGGGAGAGGGGGTGTTGAGGGGTTTTCTGTGTTTCTTTTCTACAGAAGTATTTGAATTGAAGATGAATAGCCATATAATTTAACTCTATTTACGTGTATTTACAGTGGCTATGACGGTGTTAAAGCCCCTGTGTTTGCCTCCTTCCTTTCTGTTGTTCGTCTACACACTTTCATAATCATATATATGCTACAGCAGCACCATCAATACCTGTTTAACCCTCTTCTTTTGATGCTTTTTTCTTTCATTTGTTTGCAGTAAAGGCTTTCCCTAAAGATGACCCATCAAAGCCACCCCATTTGACTGCCTTCATGGGGTATAAGGCCGGCATGACGCACATTGTACGCGAGGTAGAGCGCCCAGGATCAAGTAAGTTATTTCTTTCCTTTTTATCTCCTTTTCTTATTCTTTTAATTCTTTATTCTTATCTTTGTAGCGTTTGTTGCTGCTACTCTTGCTGCTGCAGTATTAAAGACATACACCTCGATAAATGCCAGCAGAATATAGTCTTTGTGATATCTGTACTCTACAGATTGATATTTTTTTTTGCTTTTCTTTATAAACGCATGCAGAGGATTTCCTCCTTAATGTCTGTATTGTACAGCTTCCTTTTCTTTTGCTTTTCCCCCGGGCGCTGGGTTTAAATGCGCGTCTTTATGACGTTGCTGCGACCCGTCTGCTGTCTCCAAGCACCTGAGCTGTTCATTAACTGAGCAGATTTGCTGTGGTGTATATTTGAAAACAGCAGCGCCGTACATCAAATGGATTGAGTTGAGTTCTGCTCCTCAATGCAGGCTTCCATATTCCTAGTCTTGGGCTACTGGTTTCTTCTTTATTTAATGCAATAAATAAATAAATATTTATTTATTTATTTATTTGTTGCATTATTCGAAGAAATCTGACTCGCTTATGCGGGGCTGAACCTGAGAAAAACCATGGAAGTATCAATTCAGATTTTCTTTATATACATGTTTCTTAGAGTTTACTTTTCTGTGTTTTTCTTGCGGGTTTCTGTCTTTTTTCTTTGTTCTTTCCCTCATATTCCTGCTATTTATTCTTTTGTTTGTTTTCTTCAGAGCTTCACAAGAAGGAGGTTGTTGAGGCGGTTACCATCGTAGAATCTCCGCCTATGGTTTGCGTCGGTGTTGTCGGTTATATTGAAACTCCTCGAGGTCTACGTGCGCTTTCAACAGTATGGGCTGGGCATTTGAGTGAAGAATGCCGCAGACGTTTCTATAAGAATTGGTATAAGAGCAAGAAGAAGGCTTTCACTCGATATTCAAAGAAATATGCAGAAAATAACAAAATGCAAGAAGAAATCGATACTATTAAACAACATTGCTCAGTTATTCGTGCAATTTGTCACACACAACCCAGCAAAACCCCTACTGGACTTCGCAAGGCGCATATCATGGAAATTCAAGTAAACGGAGGAAGTGTTGCTGAAAAGGTAAGAAAATATTCTGCAAAATATGCTGACTTCGGGTGTATATGCATCTACTTCGACTTTGTTTGGTGATGCAAATCATGATGACGCAGTTGAATTTCGATTTTCTTTTTTGAGTTTCTTTCTACTTTTTTCTGTTTTCTCCCTCTTTTTGTCTTTTTTTTTGTATTTTCTTCTTCGTATTTCTTTTTTTTGCTGTATTCCCCTCTTTGTATTTTTCGTATTTTTTCCTGGAATTGCAGTTTATTTTTGTGCAAATGTGCGTTGTTTATTTGAATTGAATTTCAGGTTGATTTCGTGACGAAGATGTTTGAATCACCTGTCCCGATCAGCGCCGTGTTTGAACAAGATGAGATGTTGGACGTAATCGGAGTAACGAAGGGCCACGGAGTAAAGGGTGTTGTTTCTCGTTTCGGTGTGACTCGTCTGCCTCGCAAGACCCACAGAGGTTTAAGAAAAGTTGCATGTATCGGAGCCTGGCATCCAGCTCGTGTTCAATTCCAAGTGCCCCGCCACGGTCAGAAGGGATACTTCCATCGTACAGAGATGAACAAGAAAGTCTACAGAATCGGCGTTGGAAGCGACCCGAGAAACGGCTCTACAGATGCAGATCTGACGGAGAAGAGAATTACCCCTATGGGTGGCTTCCCTCATTATGGCGAAGTTCGTAGCGACTTCATCATGATCAAGGGCTGCATTGTGGGTTCTAAGAAGAGGCCTATTACCATGAGGAAGACCCTTGTACCTCGCACTTCCAGAAGAGCTCTTGAAAATATCCATCTTAAATTCATTGATACTTCTTCTAAGTTCGGTCATGGTCGCTTCCAGACATCTGAGGAAAAGGCGAAGTTCTACGGGCCTCTTAAGAGAACTGCTGCTCTGTAAAGCGTAGAAAGCAAGAAAAAACAAGTATGGTGAGACCCTCATCCTGTATACACTCACGCAGCCTCAAGCCCTGCATATATCCCTGTAGCCAGCCCTCTATTTAGGGCTTATACAATACCTGCGCCGGGCATTGGCGAGGGTTTTCTTTTCCCTCAAACTGAGACAGGAGTGCAACTTACGCTTTAAAACAGTTCTCTTTCTTTGTTATTTTCGAGTCTTTGCTGTCTTATGAGACCCCCTATTTACATGCGAACATTAACTTTTCCTTCGTTTTTTTCGAAGTATTGCAAGTCCAGGGCGCTGGGTTTAAATGCGCGTCTTAATGACGTTGCTGCGACCCGTCTGCTGTCTCCAAGCACCTGAGCTGTTCATTAACTGAGCAGACTTGCTGTGGTGTATATTTGAAAACAGCAGCGCCGTACATCAAATGGATTGAGTTGAGTTCTGCTCCTCAGTGCAGGCTTCCATATTCCTAGTCTTGGGCTACGGGTTTCTTCTTCAGTGCAATAATTATCATTTATTTATTGCATTGTTTGATGAAATCTAACTCGCTTATGCGGGGCTGAACCTGAGAAAAACCATGGAAGTATCAATTCAAAGATAAACTATACGCTGTTGTAGCTGATGATATAAACTAACTAGTAAAGTTGCAGCAGAAGAAATAGAAAGAAATTGTTGTTTTCGCTGCTCTTAGGTGTTTCTGAAAGATTTCCCTCAAAGTTCAGGCAGTAGAACATTTGCATTAATTTGATTTTTTTATTCCGTTTCAGAGGTCTTCAGGTTTATTGAATAACAGCGAAACTTCCTTCTTTTCTTATAGGTAGTGCTCAAACTTTAGTTTTATTAAACATATAATATTGTATAAAGATTTAATTTCATTCAAGATTTTATTTGTTACGGAATCTCGATGATTGAGGCTTCAGCTTCGACTAAACTGAACCTGCATTTTTTTAACTTTTTTATTTGAAGTTTTTTCTATTTAGCAATGACTGGGGTGTAAGTGGCACCTTTAGACGGGGTTTCCTTGCAGCAATATAATGAAGCAGTATAATATTATACTGAAAATAGTTAGTTTGTTAGCCGAAGATTTATCTTTCTTCCTCTTGGATGAATTTTACAAGGAAGGAGTGCCTCTTAGAGGAGCATAGAGTATAATCGGCACAAGAAAAACCAGAAAAAAAAGGAAGTGCTGTTAGTGAAACGAAGATAGAATTCAAGAAAAAAATAAGAGTTTTACTTTAGACTGCAAACTCAACTACAAATTATTTTCATTCGCTTCTTTCCACTGAGTCCGGGTCTATGCCATGCCTGAGAATAAATAAGTAAATAAATCAAATAAATAAATAAATAAATACGCAAGCTATATCATCACTGAAGGAGTAAAAAAAAATAAAATAAGTTAACAAAAGGTAAGAAACCAACAAATGGAGTACAGGGAGAGCTGAAAGACGACAGAGAAGAATGTAATTAAATGCACTGGGCGCGTAAATACACAAATAGAAGAAATGCCTAAAATATTTTATAAAATTTCTGTTTCAAATAAAAATATTAGTACACACAAATACACAAAAAAATGCAAATGCATAGATGCAGCAACCCCGGAGTAAGTAGACCTAAATAAAGCGAATGAATAAACAAAGGGTTTTATAATTAATTAATATAGAAGAGGGGTTGTAATAAAGATAAAAATAAAGAAATAAAGATAAAATAAAGTCTTACCGACGCAGATTTGCACGTTCAAGTGCATAAGGCCAGCAAGTAGTATTATAGTTGTGATAGTCGGGGATTCCGTAAGACCTAAAATAAATACAAAAACCACATTAAAAATAGAATAAACTATTATTATTATTATTATTATTATTATTATTATTATTATTATTATTATTATTATTATTATTATTGTGGAAGAATATTAATAAAGCTACAGGCCGGCAACAGCGCTTCATATAAAGCATTCAAAATATACATAAGTGTTGTAACGCAAGAAATACAAAAAAAAGAATAAAGACGGATTTAAACAGAATAAAGACAGATTTTACTGAGTTGATAAAAAGTAGAGCAAATTAATTACAAGGAAGGTGTATGAAGTGATAACGATGTGTAGATTTTCATTTGCAGTGTTTGTTATGCATGAGGAGTAAGAAGATATGAAGGGAAAAAGACAAAGAAAAAACAAATAATAGAAACGAAACAGTGCAAAATACAGAAAAAAAGAAATAAAAAACAGAGTCGAATAAGAAGGAGAGACAATTTCTCTCTAGTTTCCTTTCATTTAAAATGAAAATAGAAAAGACACATAAAAAGAACATGAATATCTAGTGGAATGTTTAATTGCTTTTGTTCAATAAAATAAACATTTCTTAAAATTATTTCTTCCTCACCATCTCGCATATTTATCCAGCGCTGCAATTCCTAAAACGGTGCTCCAGACAGTCTTAGAAAACCAACCCGATTTATAAAGAAGGCCCATATGCGCCATTGTCTGCAGATGGAAACAGAGGGAAAAAAACAAATAAATATATAAATGAAGCCAGCAATAATAGTATAAGCGCCTCTTTTTAAATTGCAAGACAGAAAAGTAAACAAATAATATGCAAATAACAAAGAAATACAGTCAAAAGCAAAACATAAGGAAACTCCCGTATATTTCTTCATCTCATGAAGGAACAAAGGGAGAAATCTACGGCCGAAATGCACTAAAAAACAAATAATAAATTCAATAAAATGCAAATAATAAAATAATAAAATCAAATGAAGGAAAAATTCAGAAAAATTTTCGTTAGTTTTTCCGGCTGTTGTGCATTCATGTCGCACGCAAAAGGAGCGTTGAGAGGGAAAAGGATTTATAATTTATATTTAAATTTCAAAATTATTGCAAATTTATTCTTTTAAAATATTAATTTAGACATTTTAAGAGATTTCAATTTCGTTTGAGTCTCGCTGATAGGCATGCTAAAGGTGTTGCTCTTACCGTGTTGCTTTTCCTTTACTCCTTCTCCTTTTTGATAATTCGCCTTATTTATTGAATGAATAATTCTAAATTCATAAATAAATATATAAATGGAGGTAAATTCCCCCTTTTATTTTCCGCTTCAACGAAGATCGACTCTCGCCAGCCCCAATGCAACAACAACATGCATTTCTATGAACAGCCATTACTTTGCCGTTCTTTTCCCGTTTTTGTTTAAATTAAATCTAACTAAATTAAATCATTTTATATACTTCCAATTCTACGCGTCTCAACGGCATCTCAACACCGCTTGTACATAAGTATTTTCGTTCTATTCGTGTAGATAGAACTTCTGAAAGTAAATTTTAAACTCTGCACTCTCTACTAGTTTGATAGTCTAAGAAATGATAAATGCATTTATATCTCTTGTAATCTTCTTATTCTTTATCGCGTTGAAGTCTTAATAAACTTGTATATTATCATTCTAGTAAAACCTATACAAGTTTTCAGTTTATCATTTTAAGTAATTGTTTATAAATTTGTAGTTTCTGAGTATTAAATTTTCAGCAAATGCAGCATTTACTCTTGCGCTCATGCAGATGCAAATATTTAAATATATCAATTAAATTTATTTGAAGTAGAGAATATAACAATAGACAAGACAGACAAAATGAATATATTACGAGTTTTCCCTATGCTGCTCTCCCCCTTAGTTTTTGCTTTCTTTAGCTTTAATATCTTGCTTGAATAAACTCAGAGAAAAACAAATAATTGAATGAATTCCTTGCAAGAAGAAAAAACCGGTGAGTAAATAATGCCCCGAAGGAAAAAAAACTAAAAACTTAAAATATTTGCATGCAGAAAAGTAAAGAAGGTTTTCTCGAAAAAGAAGAAAAATGTTGCCGCGTTTGTTTGCCACATATTGAAAACAAGAAAACACAGAACGAGGAAACAGCTAAAACAAACAAGAAGCAACAAGAGACAGAAATAAAGGAACGAGAAAACCTATACACAAAGAAAAACAAAAACCCTAAAAGGGCTAAAGCCAAAAAACAGTGAGAGAAAGAAAAAAGAAGATGAAGAAAATCGGAAAAAGAAGAGAAAAAACAAACGCAAGACAGCGCCTTAAAGATAAAACACCATAAAAGAATAAAAGACGAAAGATTAAAAGATAGAAGATAGAAGGATAAGAGATTCACAGATAAATGATTAAAAGACAAAAGATTAGGAGATAGGAGATTAAAAGATAAAAGAATAAACAATAAAAACTCTCAAAATGTTTTTAAATTAATTATTCAAGAATTCCACGAACGGACTTCTTGACCTTCAGGGGCCTCCAGCGTCTGCAAAAAAAACAAAAAAGAATTAAAGAAATAAAATAAAATACCCAACAACGACAAAGACAAACAACAAAGAGAACAAGAGCTTGCACGTGTAAACAAGGAAGAAAAAAATAAAAAAAGAGAAACAGCAAATGCTTTAAATACATCGAAGACATGTGAAATCAAACCCGGCCTCTGTAACCAAACAAAGAACGAAAAAATATAAAACAAAAGCAACGACAAACATAGAGAGCAAGTGAAGAGAAGAAAGAAAACATGCAAATGTACGTATCTACGACAATATTTAGAATACATTTAAAGAGCAGCAGCAAAAAGAAAGAAAAACAAATAAGCAAAAATAGATAAACCTTCTAATAATACAATACACACACGCATACACAATACACCCGAAATATATATCCTTCTTAATAATACGCATCCAGAGCAGACAGAGATAAGACAAATATACTTTTTCATAATCTTTGTCTTTTACGTCTGCCCAGTTCGTTGATAGAACGGTGCCTCCTGATGTTTGCTGAACAAAGCACAAAAGAAAAAACAGAGCAAGCAAATTAACTTCTCTGCAAGAATAGAAAAAGAGACAAGGAAAAGGAGAGGCTACTATTCATTTTTAAAAAGAAAAGCAGAAAGTAAAAAGAAAAATAAACAACGCAAAAGAAGGAGAAAGCTTTAAAGACCAGAAGACAAACAGAGTGTAAAAACAGGGAAGCCTCTGTCTTAATTCTTTTACACAGGTTTGCTGCTGTATATTTATCTACTTCTCTCTAGAAATAGTACTGCATTTATGTTGATGTCTCTTTATCTTGTGATTTTGTTTGCTTACAAAAGATTTAATCATCGCCCTTCGGGTGTCTTCATCGCCTCTTCCATATATATCTCTAAACAGTTTCTGCAGCGCATGTTCCCCTTCAAGCTGTTCAGATTCAAGTTCTGCTGCTATTTCCTGAAGGCAGAAAGAGTAAATAGAAACAAAAGGCATTAAAAAAGCATTTATATATATCATTAGTTCATCGACTGTCTCTACACCTGTTAATAAAGCTGCACGATATCTCCTCTGCCTATGTGTTCTTTCTTTTGCTTGTTTTTCAGCCTAAACTAGATGCAGCAGCACCTTCATTTAATTCAAAAGAAAGAAAAATACCTTCTCCATTTTGTTCCAATCAATTTTCTTCTTTGATGATGGATAAACTCGAGCTGCAGCCGTCTGCTGCTCCTGCGCCTCCTTGACGGCCTCTAAAGCAGCCCATGTCTCCCCTACTTCCTTTTTAGACAGCACCACTTCAAGCTTAGTCTAAAGCAAACAAACAGAAAAACAGTAATTAGGAATAAAGGAAATAATTAACTATGTGCATAAAAGGGTAGAGGTAAACGAAGCGTTGAAAACGAGGAGGAAAAAGTATTAGTAGTATTCGTACTAGTATTAGTTTTTTAGTGTTAGTATGTTCACTAAAACCGAAGAAGCCAATGGTACAGACATTGAAGAAATACAGAAAGGTCCGCATCCAAGTGCACATTATACAGAGAAAGCAGGAAGGCGAGAGAGAATAATGTTTAGGCGCTGCTTTATTTGATATCTATGGGTGTATCTTGTCTTCAACTCGAAAGGGGAAAGTTACTGAAAATAATCAAATAATCGCTTACTTTGTGAATCTCATAAGATGAATGTTCCGGAGTTACTTCATGCCTGAGTTTCTGAACGTGAAATTCGTAGAGTTGCTGCTGATTTTTTGCGGCTTCTTGATTTATTAATGGGTTTTGAATTTGTACTTTGAGGGACTGAGGAGAAATATCCACGTTGACGTCAGAAGGTTGTAGAGATTTCACAAAAAATGTTATGAAGATCTTCTCCGCATTCTGCATCCATTCATATCTGCAGTGTACGTACACCCCAGCCAGTTCTTTAATTCAAATTATGCAGAAGCAGGAAACCCTTAGACCCCTAGAGAGCCGTTGCAAAGGCGCATATCCAGTGGAATAACAAACATTTTAAGTATTTATTTATCTTTAGAAAGAAACAGCTTACCGAGGAGTAAATGATGAAGCAGAGGCCGTTTCACTGGTAGTCTGCATCGTGGTGGCTGAAGAAGAGCTGTTCAAGGTAGGAATACTTCTCCGATCTTCTTTCTTATTTTTTCACGAAATAAACAAAAGGAATCAAGTTTTAAAGAATAAACGCAATAAATAATGCAATCCAGTACTCTAAACCCCCTACAGACACCTGAGCCTGGCTAGACGTCGATAGGGCAGCAGAGCAAATAGTGCAGTGCAAACAGGAAGGCAGAAAATGAAAACCTTGAAAATAAAAAGAATGTACTTCCTAATTCCCTTTATTTATTTTATGTTTGTAGCTTCAACGCAGCTGTCGCTCTAGGCATGCACTACTCAACTCATTCTGGGGCTTCTTCAGTTACAGGGGCCCCCCCTTCCATTCGCTGTTTTTGTTTCTGCATGCAGCAGCAGCATATCCTTAGATGAGAAATAATAGGAATAGAATTTCTTTTTAAACATTAAATGATGCTTTTAGCCATATATTATCTGCACCTAACTCCCCATTCTATAGGAATAGGTTTTGCTTTGACCTGGTGAATGCTTGTTCTCTATATAAAGACAGGACCCCTGACTTTTCTTAATAGTGAAAGGTTTGTTTGAATAAAGAACATATAGAGGGGGGAATACAGCACAGGGTGTACATAAACTCAAGCAAATTGCACAAAGCTAAAACAACGGCTTACGCACATTTAACCCAGAACATTAGCAGAAAAGAAACAAATACTACTACAAGAAAACAGCTCATTAGTCAGCTTTCCTACTTTGGGGTGTAACGACAGTCCTCGTCTTGACTTACAACACGACGAAAATACTTGAAACAATTCACTATTCACGTTTTAAAGTAATATTATTCTGAAGAAGTAGCACCTTAAATAAGGAGGCAAGATAGAAATAGAAGAAGCCAGAGACAGATCTTTTCATATTAATCGCAGCTGCATCACTACTTGCTGCTGCTGCTGCTGCTGCTGCACCGCTACTTGCTGTAGCTCTTGCTGCAGCGCTACCTGCTGCAGCTGCTGCTGCAGCACTATTTGCTGCTGCTTCTGCTGCTGCAGCAGCAAGGTGAAAATCTCACATGGAAGCAAGAGACCCAGAGCATTTCCTTCTGTTGCATGCAGAGCCACTGTCTAAAGAAGGTTTTCATTGATCGCTTATTATTAAGACAATTGTTTTAAAAGTGTTTTGTATTGGCAGTCCTTAGACAGCCTCCACTAAATCAGAAATATACAAAAAACAGCAGCATTAAGCAAGGCTGCATGCTGTATAATACAAGTTGCTGCTGCTGAGACACCTGAAGAACGTAGTTATATTATATCCGTTTTGTTTTGTTTTGTAAGGAAAGTGCTGCATGCACTCGCAAGAGAAATGAAGAAGCCCCAAATAAAAGAAAGAATAGATAGCCAATGAGAGGAAACAAGCAGAAGTTCAGAGGTAAAGAGACATAGAGAGACACAAAATAGCAATAATAATAATAATAATAATAATAATAATAATAATAATAATAATAATAATAATAATAGTAATAGTAATAGTAATAGTAATAGTAATAATAATAGTAATAATAATAATAATAATATCTCTTTTTGTTTTAATAAAGAAAAAGAAAAAAGACGCAACACAAGATAAGAGAAATTAGGAGAAGGGAAGAAACCCTTCAATGCATTGTTTGTTGCTGCCAATAATAATAATAATAATAATAATAATAATAATAATAATAATAATAATAATAATAATAATAATAGTAAACTAAATAAACAAAAAAAAAGAGAAACACAGCAGTGAAGTACTCCCAATACATATCCTGAAAAATGCAGCATCAGCAGAAGTTGTTTCAATAGCAGATGCTGCAGTAGCAGCAGCAGAAAGAGGTGCTGCTGCTGCTGTTGCTGCTGCTGCAGCAGCAGTAGCAGCAGCAGCAAGAGCAGCACGGATACCTTTCTGTGCGCATTAGTGCAACGCCCGCAAATATCTGAGGTGTATATACACCTCACAGATAAGAGTAAAGAAGATATGCTGCTGTATATACACCTCAAAGATCAGAGTAAGGAAGATCTGCTGCTGGTAACGATGTTTTTACTTCACCCATTTGTGTGTTCTTTAGTTGGGCTCCGCGGCAGACAATTCGTTGTAGAGCTGAAAACAACCACATGCTCTCCTTTTAGGGTTTAGGGTTTAGGGTTTAGGGTTTAGGGTTTGATCCCGGGTGTATGTATACACCTCAGCGGTGTTCTTTCCTACTTTGTTCTCAACTTAAACCCTAAAATAAAAATCTTCATTTGCATACCAGCGGCCTATTGCACGCTACTACAAACAACCGTCTCATCTGCTGCTGCTGCTGCTGCTGCTGCTGCTGCTGCTGCTGCTGCTGCTACATGACTTACTGCCCAGGCAGACTAGCTCGACAGTGAGAAGTACATAGGCTTGCACCAATCTGCAGAGATAAAAGGAAATACATACATCAATATATGCATACATACATAAATGCATGCGGATGTAGGTAAGGCAGCAGTTTCGTAAGAAGACAAAGACAGCAGCAAATAGAAGGTGAAATGGAGGTGTATGTATGTACAGTGCAAGCAGCAGAACAAACGCTCTGATATACGCTGCTGCTGCTGCAGCTGCTCCTGCAGCAGCTGCTGCTGCATTTAAAATGTATTAATAATGCCTTACGGGAAGCTGCTGAGGAAACAAATAACAAAAAGAGGAGTTAAAGAGAAGGCAGTCCCCCTAAACAATATACGCATACAAACAAACAACTCCCAGCTGGTGCAGCAGCAGCAGCAGCAGCAGCAGCAGCAACAGCAACAGCATCAAGGTTCCGAAGAGGAAGAATAGCAGCAGAAGCAGAAGCAGCAGCAGCATGATCAAACGCAGCAGGAGATATAAAAATATGCAGCGAACGGAGCAGCATATCCGGATGGTGCTTCTGCAGCAGCAGCAGCAGCACATGCAGCAACAACAGCAGCAGCAGATGCAGCAGCAGCAGCAGCAGATGTAGAAGAAGACAAAGACAAACCAGAAACAAAGACGAAGGAATGTTCTCCTTTGGAGGGGATGAGTCGCAGCCTCCGCATTTAGCAGCGACAAGACCATCAGCAACACTGCAACACCAACATACACCCTAAACCCTAAACCCTAAACCCTAAACGCTAAACCCTAATATTTTGAGCTGCATGCTGTGCACTTCCCCGGAGACCCCTCAAGCGCAAACCCTAAAGCCAACGCTATATACGCTGAACCCCGTTCAAAACCCTAAATCGATGATGATGATGCTGCTGCTGCTGTTGCTGTTGCTGTTGCTGCTGTTGTTGCTGCTGCTGCTGTTGCTGCTGCTGTTGCTGTTGCTGCTGACCTGAAGCGACGCCCGTGGTGATGTGTAGAGGCAGAGCACAGACTGCAGCAGCAGCAGAGGAGACAGCAGCAGCAGCACCAGCAGCAGAAGAAAGAAAGAGACGAAAAGCAAAATGATTTGTTTTAAACAAAACAAAACAAACAAACAAAACAAACAAACAAATATAAATACACCCTAATATCAACACATCAGCAGACAGAAGAAAAACCCAGCAGCAACAAAGGGCTGCAAAGACAGACAGAGAGACAGAGATATAAACAGAGACAGAGACAGAGATAAATAAATATATATATAGATAGATAGAGACAGAGAGAGAGGGAAAGATAGATAGATAGATAAATAGATAGATAGATAGATAGATAGATAGATAGATAGATAGATAGATAGATAGATAGATAGATAGAGAGACAGACAGAGAGAGAGAGAGAGAGAGAGAGAGAGAGAGAGAGACAGAGAGAGAGAGAGAGAGAAGGAGACAGATTGCGCAGAGTCAAGAGAGCAGACAAACGAGAGAGATGAAGCAACGAGAAAAGCAAAGGAATAAACACTCAATTAATAAAACAATTAATTAAACAAACTAATTAAATAAATAAAATGATGAAATAATAACAATAAAATTATAATAACAATAAAATAATAATAACAATAAAATAATAATAATAATAATAATAATAATAAAAATAATGCATACTACTAAATAATAATAATAATAATAATTATAATAATAATAAAATAAATAATGCATAATAATAAGAGGGTAATAAGAAGAAATAAACAAAGAGAATTAATATATAATAAACAAGACTTACGATAAGTATAAAGAGCTGCAGGGTTAAGTTGGTGAGGAGAGACAGAGGCGCCCAGCAGACACAAAAGAGCAGAGGCAGCAACTCCCAAAGCAACCATAGACAGCTGCACCACACACAAACCCTAAACCCTAAACCCTAAACACTAAACCCTAGACCCTAGACCCTAAACCCTAAACCCTCTAAACACTAGACGCTAAACACTAAACGCCAAACGCTAAACGCTAAGCACTAAACGCTAAACCCTAAACCCTAAACCCTAAAGAAAGCGAAAAGTAGATGCATAAGCGCAAACACCGCCAACCTTGAGGTTGGCGGTGTTTGCGAGAGAGAGGGAGAGGCCTATTATATGTTTGAAGATACAATGAGGTGTATATACACCTCAGCTGCTGCTCTATTTGCTGCTGCTTTTCTTTTTACTTTATTGTTATTCTACTACACTCACCACACCATTTGTACGGGCGTCTGTCTGCCCCCCTTCAACTCCTTTAGCAGAGAGCAGCAAAAACAGCAGCAAACCGCCGCAACGAGCAGCGAGCAGCAGCAAAGTAGAGAAGAACTTTAAAAGAGGTAAGCCAAGGCCGTCCTGCATAAACAGAGGTTAGCGAGATAAAGAAAAAGAAATACATACTGCTCTAAACCCTAAACCCTAAACCCTAAACCCTAAACCCTAAACCCCCTGTGTCTGACCGCAGCGTAGACAATCAGGTGAAAGGTTTGCAGCAGCACCGATGCTCCCAGGAAGCAGCAGCAGCAGGTAGCAGCAGCAGCTAGAGGGGAGGCTTGTCGCTGCTGCTGTCTGTACACTCGGTGGCTGCTAACGCAGACAGCTATAGCTAAGAAGGAGATCAGCATGTGCAGCTGCAGCAGCCCTGCAGCAGCAGCAGCGCAAACAGTCGCAGCAGCAGCACTGCTGCACCAGCAGATCTTCTGCTGCTGCAAGCAGCAGCAAATATCCGCAGCAGCAACACAACACCGCCCAAAGCCAACGAACTACCCCGAGTGCTTCTCGCACTCGAGCCACAGACACAAACACCTACCTAAACCCTAAACCCTAAACCCTAAACCCTAAACCCTAAACCCTAAACCCTAAACCCTAAACCCTAAACCCTAACCTTGATCCTGGCAAGAAAACTGGCGCGAGAAGAAACCCCCAGGGTTTATAAATGTAACGGAGTAAGCGGCGTTTAAACTCTTGCCTTCGCCACACCGCGTTATCTGCACCAACACCCTAAACCCTAAACCCTAAACCCTAAACCCTACACCCTAAACCCTAAACCGGTAATAAGGCGAAGGGATGCGAAAGGATTTACCCATGCTGTCATTTCCTTCCCATCCATACTCGAATCAACAGCCTGAGGCCGCAGCATAAACCCTAAACCCTCAATTCTATGCATACTCACAGCCAAAGCCTTAACCCCAAACCCTAAACCCTAAACCCTAAACCCTAAACCCTAAACCCTAAACCCCGCTTACTAAATTGAGCTCGAAGAAAGCGGGAGCTCCCCCTCTTGCCTGCTCTTCCTTGGAAAGACCAACTGCACACACCGCTCGCTCGAAACCCTAAACCCTAAACCCTAAACCCTAAACCCTAAACCCTAAACCCTGAGTTTGACCCCCTCTTTAGTTGGTGTAAATATCTGTCTGAAACCCCTAAAAAGCAGAGGCCTGTGCAAGCTGTGTACATTGCCATCCCCACGCAAACCCTAAACCCTATCCCTCTCTGCAGTGTTTAGGGTCTAGGGTTTAGGGTTTAGGGTTTACCTAGGGCCTCCCTGATACGCGCATTGTTCTGAAGGGCGTTGCATGTAGCTGTTACTGCCTCCTCGCTGTCAGCGTCGAGAGACACTCCAGCATTCAGTGAAGCCTGTCTATATTCTTCTACTGCTGATTTGGAGTGTATAAGCAGCTCGTGCCCTTCCTCTTGCAGCATCTGTGCAGTGTACATACATCCCAAACCCCAAACCCTAAACCCTAAACCCTAAACCCTAAACCCTCAAGGTCACAGCGGAAAATCCAGCAGCAAAACAGCCCGCATGCAACAGCGCTCAGGTGTATACGCAGCTTTGTTAGGTACAAAGGCAGACGCAAAGATTTTCTCCTCTTAATAACAGCAACAACAACAGCAACAACAGCAACACTATGTTGAGGTGCCTATACACCCCAGCAAACAAACCTCAGAGATTTGCAGTGTACGTACACCTCACCGTCTCAGCCACCAACGCGCCGCTCGAACCCGGAGGCACAGAGAAGCAGAAGTCGCCCACAGCTTCAAACATCGGGCCTCTTGCAATTCCAAATACCTTCTTGCTTTCAGCACGTGAGGGCAGCAGCAGCAGCGCAGCAGCAGCAGCAGCAGTAGCAGCAGCAACAGATGCGCTGGTTGATGCTGCTGTAGCTGCTGTTGCCGCCTTCGCGTCCAGCGGATTGCAGCAGAAAAGCAGCAGCAATAGCAACATGCACGGCACCGGCTGCACCTTTAAGGATAGCCTATAGGGGGCCCCTAGGGGGCCCCCTGAGACAGAGTGAAGGGTTTTGGCGGCCATGGGTACAGCGCCCGGGGGCCCCAGGTATATTACCGCCTCAGCCTGAAACCCTCTCTATTTGAATCTATGCAGTATGCTTTATACGCTAATCTTGTATCCCTCCAAAAGAGAAAGGGGTTTTATTTGAGATCAACAGACACTTGCAGCTAAAAGGTCTTTAAGAATGCTGGAGTTTCTTCGAGGAACCGTCAGATTGAGATCTCTGGCTGCAGGTTTGCAATTAGTCTGGGCTGCGGTGAAGAAGGAAGGAAGCAGAGATATAAATGCTGCAGCAAGAACGGCCCTAGAAAGAAGATTGAGTTAAAGAAGAAAAAAAGAAGATCAGCGAAGAAGAAGAAGAAGAAATGTGCATATTTGAACTCCGAGGTGGCTGTGCTCATCAGGAGGTAAAGGGATCAGACAGCGGCGTTGCATCAGTGAAAAAGGAATAATAAATTGAAATATTATGGAAATTCTCTGGAATTAAAAAGAAATACTCAGGTTTTATTCATGAATTCAACTTCGTATATTCAATATTCTTCATGCAGCCACTTGAGGTGCCTGTACACCCGAAATGGGTCCACTGGAAACCAACAGACGGCGCCCATCACCGCCCCTTCTTGTTATTGTAAATGTTTGTAAATTACAATTAAATGTATTTAAATCAAAAATTAAATCAAGATTTCCATCATATTTCAGCAAAATAAACAAAAAACAAACAAATTCTGCTGTCTGCTCACTGCACACATTTAAGAGGCCCGCAACCAACATAAAGTAGATGAAAAAAGAAGAAATTTTCTCTGTATTATATTTTCTTCTTTTGCATGCACTCCGTCTGTATATGTTGGTGTATTGTATTATTATCTTCTGTGTCCATTCTCCCAGCCTTTTGCCTTCACTGTGTGCATGCAGTGTTTATATACAACTACATTCATATGTCTCTCTTAAGTACGGAAAAACTACGGTGTACAGACACCTGGTCTTTGTTCAGTGATTTCAAATAATCTTCGGTTGTTTATACTATGAAGGTTCGATTATTAACTTCAATTATTTGTTTATTCTTTGTCTCATTCATTTGTACTATTTATTGCCTGGCGATGCCCCTAACAGCCTCTAAACCAACAAACATAAAAGAAAAAGAAAACCCAGACGGTGGGCAAACTGCATGCTGTTAATATACTCTGATGAACAAGCGACAAGCTAAGGCACTCCTGGTCTCAGCTATAGCCGAAACAGCTGCAATAGCAGCAGCTGCAGCTGCTGCAGCAACAGCAGCAGCTGCAGCAGCAACAGCTGCAATAGCAGCAGCTGCAGCAGCAGCAGCTGCAACAACAGCAGATTGTTGCAGTGAATTGCTACTGCCCTCGTGACAAGAAGCACAGACTGGTACAACGCTTCACTTTCTTTCCTTTCTTGCTGCTGCTGCTGCTGCTGCTGCTGCATCTGGAGAGGGTTCGACTCGTTTAAAGCGGCAGAGCAGCCCGAAGTGATCAGAAGCAAAACAACCAACGCTAAGGAGCCGCTGCTCTCCAACCAGTTGCAGCTTCACTGGCTGCCACACTGCGCCCCCGCTCCCCTTACTACTACCGCTGCTGCTGCTGCTGCTGCTGCTGTTGCTGCTGCTGCTGTTGCTGCTGCTGGTTGGGCCTAAGGGAGGATCAGCAGTGATGAATATTCTGTCGAAGCGGCAGCGCGGTTTGTATTTGCGTTTGACCTCTGCATGGTTGTCGTTGCGCAGCATATCCCAGGTGTACATACACCCCGGCTCTCTTCCTAGAAACTCCCAAGCGTCAATGGTTCCCTCAGGAACAATCGTTCCGCTGCTGCTGCTGCTGCTGCTGCTGCTGTCGCTGTTGCTGCTGTTGCTATGGGGGCGCTTCGTGCGAGCAAACCCGTGCTGCTGCTGCTGCTGCTGCAGCAGCAGCTCATCGTCTCTTAAGTTGAGATCCCCCGCCAGTATGGCAGTTCTTACCTTCTGCGGCTTCCCTAGGGGAAAGGCATCGGAAAACACCTGCTGCTGCTGCTGCTGCTGCTGCTGCTGCAGTGGGTCTGCTAGGGTAACAGCAGTCATGAGGCTGAAGCAGTGCTGCAGCTGCTCTCGCCGCTGCTGCGCGTAGGGCCGCATGGATTCTAAGTGAGAAGTCAGCAGCAGCAGCGGCTCCGAAGGTCTTTTGCTGCTGCTGCAGCAGCCGTACAGCAGATGTCTCCCCATGCTGCTGCCAGCAAACCACAGTGTCTGCAGCTGCTGCCGCGCTGGCGGTATCATCTGCTGCCTGCACAGCAGCACTGCACAATAGTAGGGACACCCGGGCACTATAGGATCTGCTGCTGCTGCTGCTGCTGCTGCTGCTGCTGTTGATCCCCCTCCAGCGGCTGTGGCCGACCCGTTTCTGCTGCTGCTGCTACTGCTGCTGCTGCTGCTGCTGCTGGATTGCGCCGTCTCTGCGTAGTTAGGGGGCGGGGTAGGGAAGAAAAATCTGTATTTGTGCTGCAGCCGCTGCTGCAGCAGCTTCGCGCTGCTGTCAACTACTTCCTGCAGCAAGACAACAGCAGGCTGCAGCCGCAGCACTTCAGAGCAAACAGCAAGGGTCCTCACCCGCAGCAAACGCTCATCGAGGCCGTCCAAGTTCCTGCAGCAAAAAGCAGCAACAGCAGCAGCAGCAGCAGCAGCAGATGCAGCAGCAGTAGATGTACTAGCAGCGCGGGAGGCTTCCGCAGAAGCAGCAATTGCTGCTGTTGCTGCTGCACTCGCAGGGACGAGAGATGCAAGCAACAATCAGCAGCAGAGAGCCACACGAAGATACAACAGATGTTGCTGCAGAGGAAACCGCTAACCGCAGCAGCAGCAACAGAAGCAGCAGCAGCAGCAGCTGCTGCTGCTGCTGCTGCTGCAGTTGCTGCTGTTGCTGCCTATCTTCTTACCAAGTTAAGAGGTCAAATTCATCTCTACTGATCGGCAGAGCAGTTTCATTAACGGAGTCCTCTGAGGTGTCCATGCTGCTCCTGCTGCTGTTGCTGCTGCTGCTGCTGCTGCTGCTGGCGATGCCCGCAGCTCTGTTTCTCCCGCTGCATTCCTCGAGGCCAGTAGGGATGTCAGGTTGCTTCGGCCTGCTGCTGCTGCTGCTGCTGCTGCTGGCGGTACTCTTGACAGCATGAAGACGTTTGTTGCTTTTGCTTTTGCTGCTGCTGCTGCTGCCGTCAGGACTTCTCCTCGGGCTGCGTCCGCTTTTGTTTGCTTTCCTGCTGCTGTTAGGCGTGTCTGCATGCATCTGCACGTTGCAGTCTCTGCTGCTGCTGCTGCTGCTGCTTCTGCTGCTGTTGCTGCTGCTGCTGCTGCTGCTGTTCGCACGTCTATCAACAGATTTGCTGCCTGCTATTACCGCTTCGACCGCGGAGTCGTCGCTCTCACTGCTGCTGACGTAAATGAGCCCATCATTTCGCTGCTGCTGCTGCTGTTGCTGCTGCTGCTGCTGCTGCTTGTGGATACCCTCTTGTCGCAGCGCGGGCCGCTGCAGGGGTTGCTGCTGCTGTCGCTGCTGCTGCTGTTGCTGCTGGCGATGCAGCTGATATTTCTGGGCGCTGATGCGTCGGAGCTCCGCCACTTCCCTCTCAAGCGCGGCCTCACGCTGTTGCTGCTGCTGCTGTTGCTGTTGCTGCTGCTGCTGCTGCTGCTGCGTGGAAGTGGAGTTTTGTATGTCCATTAGTGTTGCTGCGGTGTACAGGGATGAGGTAGCGCTTCCCTTGGGGCTCGTCGATGCAGCTGCTGTTGAAGAGAGCCTCAGCGGCTCTGCTGCAGAGGCTAGAAGAGCAGAGACAGTTGCTGCAGGAGCTGCAGCAGCAGCAGCAGCAGATTTGCTACGAACGCAGGAGAAGCCAGCGACAGGCAGCGGTGGCAGCACCAAGAGACAGATGAAGAGACAGCCAATAAAGGGCTGCAGGTGCATCAGCCGAGCTGTACATACAGCTCAGAAGGCGACGAAAAAAAGACTATTGAATTGCTGCTAGTTTAGCTGCGCATACACCGCAAAAAGAGCAGCAAAAGAAACTAAAAAACTCTCGATGAGGCCGCACAGACAATAACAGCACAGACCTTCAAACCCTCAACATCCTGAGCCAAACCCTAAACCCTAAACCCTAAACCCTAAACCCTAAACCCTAAACCCTAAGCCGTTTGAGGGGCTGTATGTACATGTTGTGTTGCATGCAAAGCCATCAATAAGAGTCTCGAGACTTTATTTCTTTATAAAAGACTAATTTATTAATTGTGTTTTAATAGAAGATATTTTTTAAAGATTAATATTGAGGTGTACAGGCACCTCAGCTGTATATTTAGCGGAATCTACGGGTTGTTGGTGTGAGTCTTCTTTTGCAGTTGAGGTGTATGCATGAAGAGAATAAAAATATTTTTAATTATTTTTTTGTTTTAATTTATATTTATTAATTTAATTACGCAAAAAAATATTTGTCTTAGCTCTGCACCGGCAGCCCCCGCAGCGAGCGAGCAGCACCTGCCTAGACAGCCGAGGAGGTAATAAGTAATAATATTTCTTTTGAAGTATTTAAATTAATTAAATGAATTTAAATTCTTTTTAAATAAACAAAACAATCAACGGAGCTGCAACAGAGCTGCATGCATATATATAACATACACAACGCTTTGCACATGCAGCCGTACTGTTTAGGAGTTATACTTGGGGTGTATGTACACCTCAGCAGCTATGCTAGCCTCAGCTGATGCCTTCTTATAATAGAATAGAGCAGCAAAAGAAAGGAGAGAGACAGAGAGAGAAGGAGAGTTGCAGCTGTAAGGAAGCAGCAGCTACAGTAGTAGGTAAGAGGGAGGTTAGGGCTGCTGCTGCTGCTGCTGTTTGTTTATTTGCTGCACTTCTCCTGTTGATTCTTAAGACAAACTATGAACGAAGAAGAGAAGAAGCAGACTCCTGAGGGTGTGGCCAGCAGCGGCGGTGCTGCTGCTGCTGGTACCCGTGCAGCTGCAGCAACAGCAGCATCATCAGCACCTGCTGTTGCAGCAACAGCAACACGTGCTGCCGCAGCAACCCCATTACCTGCTGCAGCGGCAACAGTAATACCTGCATCAGCAGCAGCTGCTGCTGCATCAGCAGCAAGCCGAATGCAAAGGGAGAAGGTGCTGTCTCCAGAGTTGCTTGAAGCTAGCAGCAACAACAACAACAACAACAGCAACAGCAGCAGCAGCAGCAGGAGCAGCAGGAGTTTGTCTTGTTGGTCCTTGGAGGAGATTTATTTATGCTGCTTAGGCGGCACTGTGCTGTCAATGCCGTTTGCTCGTTTTAAGTGTCTGCGATACATTTGGCTGTCGAATAATGCATTACTCTCTCTGTCAGCATTATCTTGCTGCTGCTGCTTGAAGGAGCTGTATGCAGACCACAATCAGCTCTTCAGCATTCCTTACCTCAGCAGCAGCAGCAGCAGCTTAGAAGTACTTTCACTTACAAAGAATAACTTGCAAGTGCTGCAGCAGCAGCTGCAGCCTCTTGCTATACTCCGCCGCCTAAGAAATCTTAATCTTAGAGACAACCCTATTGCTTCAGAGACACTCTACAGGTACACTAACCAGCAGCAACAGCTGCTGCTGCTGTTGCTGCTGCTGCTGCTTTTGCTTTTGCTGCTGTTGTTGCTGCTGTTGCTGCTGCTACAACGAAGGAAAGAACAAACGGGAGTGATGCTGCTGCAGCAACACCATCTATATGCAAGGAATGACCTCTATTATTGTTCTCTGATGCTGCTGCTGCTGTTGCTGCTGCTGCTGTTGCTGTTGCTGCTGCTGTCCTAGGCAACGGGTAGTTGAAGTATGTCGCGAGCTGCAGCTGTTAGATTTGCTGCCGCTTAGCAGCGAAGAGAGACAGCTTCTACAGAGCAGCAAACAAAAAGCAAGGTCAAGATGGAAGAAACCCAAGCAGCAGCAGCAGCAGCAGCAGCACAAGCAGCAGCAGCAGCAGCAGCAGCAGCAACAGTTGCTGCTGCAGCAGAAGCAGCAGCTGCAGCAGCAGAAAGCCGCTATGGCCGCTGCATGCACGGTAATGGGGGGCTGCATAGACTTTCGCTTTAACTTCTCTGAGTGCGAGAGGCTGCAGCTGTTAGCAGCAGCAGCAGCAAAAAAAGAAAGAGAGCGAACAGCAAAGACAACTCTATCCCTTAGAGAGCAGCTGCTTGGGGTTGCTGCAGCAGACACAAAGACAACCAATGAAGCAGCAACAGCAGCAGCAGCAACAGCAGCAGCAGCAACAGCAGCAGCAGCAGACACGAACCTCCTCTCCTCACGCGCAAAACGAAGTGCTGCCTCAACCAGCAGCAGCAGCAGCAGCAGCAGCAGCACGTGTTTTGCTGCATGGCAGCTAGATGCTGTGGGGGAGCAGCTGCGTCTTTTGGCTGGCGCAGCGGAACAAAGCGAAGGTAGCAGCAGCAGCAGCAGCAGCGCTAATGCTGTTGCAGCAATGTCTGCTGGTGGTGCTGCAGCAGCAGCAACCAGCAATCGCAGGAGCAGCAGGATGGCGACCGCAAAGCATAATACGACAGAAGGAGCAGCAGCAGCAGCAGCAGAAGCAGCAATTATACCCTTCAAGGAATGTCGAAAGGTTTGCAAGCAGCTGCAGCACGACGCCTTCCTAATTGGGTTGTCTCTTTCTGCTGCTGCAGCAAAAGAACTTGAGGTGTATGCGCAGCTTCGCGCTGAACAAGCGAGGGAAGCAGCAGCAACAGCCGCTTCACCAGCAGCAGCAGGCTCCGCTGCAGCAACACCTGCCCTGAACAAAACAAATGCAGCAGCAACAGCAGCAAAAGGCCGCCCAGCAGCAACTGCAGCAGTGGAGCAGCAGCAGCAGCAGCAAAACAAGGATGCAGCTGCAGCAGAAACGCAGCAGCAGCAGCAGGGTATACCCCTAAAAGATTTCACCAGATGGCTGCTGCAGCAGCACTGGAAGCCAAGGTCTCCGCAGCAAATTCGAGAGGCAGCGGAGTGTCTATACACCCGAGCGCAGCGGCTGCAGCAGCAGTTGCAGCAGCAGCAGCAGCTGCAACCGCAGCAGCAACAGCAGCTGCAGCAGCAAGCCCTCGCTGCAGCAACGCAGGTACATCGCTGCAGCCCCTTGTGCACTGCAGCCAGCTAGCCAGGCAGCTAGCTGCACTCCCAACCGAACCCAACAGCTAGCCAACAGCTAGCTGGGTAGCTGTTGGCTAGCTAGCTAGCTGTTGGGTGTGTATTTAGGGTTAGGTGCAGAGACACCTGAAGTTGTGGGGCGAAATGCCGCAGGCAATTCGACTGTCGACACTCGCAGAGACAACCAAAACCCTCAAGTAAACCCTAAACCCTAAACCCTAAACCCTGAACTCTAAACTCTAAGGCCTAAACTCTTAACTCTAAATCTTAAGCTCTTAACCATAAACCCTTAAGCCTAAATCATAGGTCTTTAACCCTAAACCCTAAACCCTTGCTTCTGCACCATTCCTTGAGCGAACCCTAAACCCTAAACATCGGATTCTCTATACTTCGAGCCTTGAACTTCAAACCCTAAACCCTAAACCCTAAACCCTAGGCCGCTGTTGTTGAATCAAATGCATGCCTATGTTTAATGTCTCTGTGCTGCAGGCCTCCGCCTGAAAAGAAGTGAGGTGTACAGACAGCGGGTTGGGGAGAGCAGGCGGAAGCACCACGTGCTGTGCCCAGCAAACCCTAAACCCTAAACCCTAAACCCTAAACCCTAAACCCTAAAGGGAAGGCGGTAGCTGCTCTAGCTAGCGCCGTAGGTTTGTGGATGCATGAAGGCATTGTTAAGAGCCTGTGGTTTAGGGTTTAGTGGTTACTAGGGTTTCGTGTTTGGGTAGATTAGGGTTTAGGGTTTATGAGGGTTTAGGGTTTAGGGTTTGAACAAGATTATGTTGCTTTAACAACTCAAGAAGCGCGCCGCTCTTAAACATCTCTAAAATTATATCTGCACCCCCTATAAACTCGCGGTGTACATACACCTGAGGGAAGGTCGCCCAGCTGCTGTATTGTTTTGCTGCTATCCTAAGCTCAGCATCAGATAAAACATCAATATAAGGAATGTCGTCCACTCCACACGCCTGAACACCCAAACCCTAAACCCTAAACCCTAAACCCTAAACCCTAAACCCTAAACCCTTGGGCATGATTAGGGTTTAGACGGGGTTTTTGAAGGCAGAGGAATCAAATAAGACAGCGAAAGACAAACCAACACTGCCAGAAGAAATAATATAAATATAAATATAAATATAAATATAAATATGTATATATATATACATTTATATATTTATATATTTATGTATTTAGATAGATAGCATAGATAGGTAGATATAGATAGATTTGATATAGACAGATAGATAGATAAAAAGAGAGAGAGACGGAGAGACAGAGAGACAGAGAGACAGAGACAGAAGGAGTCTGCATTTGAGGTGTACATGCACCTCCTAATCAGCACTAGAGGTGCAACAAGTTTACCTGTAAAGCCTGGACAACAACTCTGCTGAATCCACACTGGGGTTCTTCTGGGCTTCCTTTGATGAAAAGAAAGAGTTTGTTTTTATTTACTAATTCTTTTACTTTATTAATTGCTGCAGCAGAAGCAGCAGCAGCAGCAGGTTGCTGGTTCAATGCCTGCTGCTGCTGCTGCTCATGATGAGAGTTTAATAAAAGATTAGATGAGTTTAATGCAGACGAGAACAAAGCAAATGCTGCTCTTCTTCTCCACACACCTGGGGATACACCCCGTACATCTCTTTTTAAAACAGAGCAATAAACATTTGCGCGAGAAGGAGTGAAGACCCGAGAATTACTCAAAGAAAATGCAGCACTCTCTGCTGGCAGCAGCACCAGCAGCACCAGCAGCAATTGAAGCAGCAGATGCTGCTGCTGCTGCTGTTGTTGCTGGTGCTGCTGCTGCGGCAGGCGGCGACTAAACATAGGAAGTAGCAGCTTTGTAGATAGTCGGCTGGGAGAGCAACAAACAAAAATTGAGGTGTACAGACAGTCCAGCAGAGACAGACTTCAGTTTAGCTGTGGGGTGTACTAAGACCTTTACAGCGAGAGAAATGCAATAAAACCCTAAACCCTAAACCCTAAACCCTCGAAAGGAGCTACACATCAAGGGATAAGAGGGAAGGCGACGGCTGTTCTTGAGGGTTTAGGGTTTAAAGAGAGCGTGTCTTCTGCTAAATTATAATGAAAACAAGCAAAAAGAGAAAAAGAAATAATAAAAAGTAAATAAATAACAAATAATAAATGCCTTGAAGGTATCGACGTAAACAAAAATTAGGGGCTGGGGTTCGATTTTAGGGTTTAGGGTTTAGGGTTTAGGGTTTAGGGTTTAGGGTTTGCATAGAGGCGAGGGCTGCGTTCGGTGTTAGAAGCGCAGCGAGCAGCACAACGTGTGTATTGAAATAAAAAGAAAGAAAACAGGGTATTTAATAAATAATATTTAATTATTTAATTATTTATTTATATTTAATTTATATTTATTTTCATTTATTTCATAAAATCGACAACGGCAGGATTCGAACCTACGCGGGCAGAACCCAATGCCTTAGCAGGGCACCGCCTTAACCACTCGGCCACGTTGCCTTATTTTAATCGGTGTTTATCTTTTTAAGTTAAAGACGAAGTAAATATAATAATAATAATAATAATAAT